CTGGCGGGTGACATTCGATTTGCTTACCATCAGGTGATTTGTCTGCTCATTTTCATCTCTCCTATCATAAAAAAACTAATAACCATTAGAATACATATCGATATATATTGGTCTCTGACGATTAACGCTAAAATATTTCACCAAGTGTTTCACAGTTTGTTTTATAGGTAACTAGCTTCTGCCCGCGACTTCGTACGCGTAATCCCATTTTTTCCCGTCCCCGTTCGTGATTTTCGGTAAAAAGTAAAAAAAAAGTATTGGTTAAAAAGTATCCTATGTCGGTCTCCTGGCTCTAAGCTACCTCCCTACCAATTTTCAACCAAATCTATTCTGCCGTTCTTGAGTTATAAGGGGTGTAACTAACACGACTTTCTTTTATATATATGAAAGAAAGAAAGAAAGAAAGAAAAACCATTTATTTTGCTACGACACACAACAAAAATTTAGAAACACCGAAAAAAAGCCCATAGTGCGTCGCAGCGCAAAAGGCTGGAGCTCATATATAGATTTAGTACCTCTGGTTTACTAAATTGTATAATATTATAGTGAATCACAATACAATTAACCTTCGCCTACACTGTTATATAATTTATTGAACATGTCCAAGTTTAACAGACAAACATTGTGACCTTCAATTCAACGCAATTTAAAAATGTTTATGACGCCACCACGCATCGCGGCGATCTAACAATCAGAATTTAGAAGTAGAAGTATAATACTTATAATAGACTTTTATTACAACAGTACAGATATTGTCGTGGTCGTGGCCCAGATGTTTAAGACGCCTGCTTCTCATGCATGAGAGTGCGAGTTCGAAACCTACCATCGGCAAGTACCAATGTGACTTTTTCCGAGTTACATGTAACTCTAACTACTTTCTAAGATTATCTAGACACCACTGACAAACATCGTGAGGAAACCTGGGCTTATAATTTCTAATTATAGGTTTGTAAATCGCCAACCCGCATTGAGCAAGCGTGGTGATTAATGCTCAAACCTTCTCCGTGTGAAAAGAGGCTTTGCTCAGCAGTGGGCATTTATAGGCTGTTGATGTGTGTGTACAGAAACGAAATAGAATAAAATATTGTTTTTATTGCCTCGTTGGCCGAGTGGTCGTAAGTGCGACTGCCAGGCAAGGGGTCTCGGGTTCGATTCCCAGGTCGGGCAACGTATTACTGGGTTTTTAAATATTCTCAGTAGTAGCACGGAGTCTGGAATTGTGTCCGGTATATGGCAATAGGCTCAACCCCTATTACATGGGACTCATAACATAAATAGTGAAAAGTGGGTGTTACATTGTACAGTGGTATAATGTGCACCTCTGCCTACCCCTTCGGGGATAAAAGGCGTGATTTTATGTTATGTTATGTTATTGTTTTTATTAATAGAACTTTAATACTTTTTTTTTATAATACTTTTATCGCCTGTTTCACTACTTTCACTCGATTAAGTACTCGAAAGGCTGCGTTTCCACAGGAGCTGGGCAGCGCGGAGCTGGGCACCGAGTCTTAACAAGACACCTACGGCCGAATATAAGATTATGAGTAGTTCAAATTGATGGCCAAGAGCCCTAAATGATCGTACACGAAATTTAAAATCCTTACTAATATTATAAATCTGAAAGTGAGTTTGTTTGTTTGTTTGTTCCACCTTCACGCCGTAACTACTCAACCGATTGTTTTGAATTTTTGCAGGCGTAAAGCCAGAAGTCCGGATTAAATAATACTTTTTAACCCGGAAAAAATTGATATTCCCGAGGAAAAACAAAAGTATTGGTATAGATGGCGCTGTGTGTATTGGTATATGTCACATAGGCTACTTTTTATCCTTTTGTGACGCGACCGAAGCCGCGGATAAAAGCTAGTAATTAATATGTTAGGAACACAACACTGTAAATAAAACAAAAAGCTTGTAAAATTAAAGCTAACCTGTCCGATGTTATCTATATATAATAATTGTAGTTTATTACCCGACCGCTTAAAAAGGGCTTAAAAAGGTTTCATTGTCTGTTATTAAACTTTAAAATGTGTACAAATTAATATTAATACTTAAAATAAAGTTAAAATGAAACAGTTTATTTATACTTAAAATAAAGTTAAAATGAAACAGTTTATTTATGTATATGCCTCTCACAAGCCATTATGAGATTAAAGATATACATTACGTCAGATTAATAAATAAGGAAATACATTGTTACGTCTTACCAACGTCGACTGGATAAACTTGATGTATATCTACCTAATAATAATTATTGCATCACAAATAATAATGGTTCCGAAAAACAAATAAATCTCCAGCGATCTGTGGCCGACTATAAAAATGGATCTTTGAATAACAAAACTAAACTTCCGAATAGAATATTGAACCTCCGACAAAATTACTAAGTTACCGACAACAGACAACAGGTTAGGTTACTATTGTAGCAATAAACAGTCACGTAAAGTATTCGGTAAGTTAGTATTTTAGGCAGTAGATTTAATATTTTCAGTAAGGACAATTCTTCTTTTCTTGTCGGAGCTTTTATTACTACCCAATAATAAATACAGGAAAGTTCTTAATAGTCTTTTATCAGGTGGCAACAAGGTGCGCGCCTACAACGGTGCAGTCTTCGAAAGTATTTTTTAATAAATATACTTCTACATTGTTACATCAATGATACTTGATATAACAATCCCACATAACGAGAATCTCGTGAAAGCTCAAAAGATAAAGCAAGTAAATATCTTGATTTAGCTCATAGCTAAGCTCTAGATTGTCGACATGTGGGATGTGGATTCAGCAGTCATCGTGCCGATAGTCGTATCTGCCAATGGCGTCATTGCTAATAGTCTCGACCAACACCTGAGTAGGCTAGCGTTATATTTGTAAATGTTTTTTTCATTATTAAATATTTAAAAATATTAAAGTCAAGTAGTACCCTAGAAAAATAAATAAAGGAAATAATAATACAATATAATAACTACCGTAAGGTCTACAGAATTAACTATAAAAATGACGGCTTACTTACGTAAATATATTGAGTATAAACTCGACTAGTTTCGAGTAACAGAGGGACCCTTCCTCATGAGCAGCGTGCGAGACGTCGCGTAGCCTACTCCTACTGCTTAGTAGAACTTTTCTCAGTGTATGTACGTGAGTAAATCGTTATTTTTAGTTAATTCAATAAATACCGAGGTGTAGAGGAATAACGCTAAGTGTTAAGTTTGATACCTAAGGTTTCTAGACTCATTAGCACCGACCCAATGAACTTTAGGGATCTAGCCACCTAACCTCTTTTGCATAGTCCCTAATATTATTTTGTAAAGGTACGTTCACATGGCATAGATTGTTTCTCTACCGAATCGGTTTTTGCAGGACACGGTTTAATGGACAGTATTTCAATGAATGTCTTCACACATTCATTCACATTCAAGACACGGCAAAAACACCGAATCTTGCTGATGTTGACATGCGATTTTGCGGCCTAAAAACCGATCCGGCCGTACTGCAGAATGTAAGATCCCGTGCAGTGCGCATTCAGTACATCCGTTATACGATACACGCAGAGGTAGATTCGGTATTTTGTCGGATCTTGAAACCATAGTAAATCGTTGAGTCGCATAAGCTAAAAAATCAGATGGTGTGTTCACACTGGATCTCGATACGAGGCAGTCGGATACGGCAACGCCAAGATGTGCTGTGTTACTACAACTTTTTTTTTTGGTATAAGCCGGTAAAGGAGCAGACAGATCACCTGATGGTGAGCAATCGTCGCCGCCCATGGACACCTGAAACACCAAGGCATTTCAAGTGCGTTACCGGCCTTTTGGGGATTAGGAGTTTGAGGATCGTTGGGGATTCAGGAATTGGGGAGATTGGGGAAGGGGAGTGTAATTGGGCCTCCGGCGACCTCACTCACACGACGAAACACAACAAGCGTTGTTTCACGTCGGTTTTCTGTGAGGCCGTGGTATCACTCCGATCGAGCCGGCCCATGCGTGGCGAAGCATGGCTCTCCCGCATTTCATCCCATACACATTCCAGATCCTATGAAATTAAGATTCGGTAAGACGTGGATCCGTGTGAACGTACCGTAACTATTGTTTCGAAAACACTAATTTACGGGGTTTGGAACACTGTTTTGGCTGGCTATGGCTACGTGTGTGGAGCAATTTACACGGAATAACTTAGACACAAATAGATTCTAAGTTCAAGTTCATATAAGGTACACTCGGCTACACATCGAGCTTTACATAACCAGTATAAACTGAACGTTAAATGTGCGGAAAGATGATGCGACGCGACACTAGGATAAACTGGTTTTGTATAGATTGAAGTGCCGCCGTGTGTACCTATGCTGCTAAAAATATCCGTTTTAAGATGGGATGGAGAAAATATTTAACATCTATATCTATGCTACTATGTTCCTAGTACCTACATTGGTGAATCATAAAGCAACTTCAGAGAAAATGATTATCAACATCTGTCAGTTACTGGTCAAGAAACTGAAAGTCTAAAATTACAGTTTTTTAACATTACTTTGTGAAAACCCACTAAGACCCAATTTTTAAACATCATTTTTATCTGTAGGTTAAATTGACATTTGACAGTTTTTAGTATGGAAGAATTATCAAATATTTATTTAAAGTTCTTCCTTAGTTAAAATTTACCTGGCGTTGGAAAAATCGGCCCTTTTTTTTAAGGCTCATTCATCCAATGACTTCTCCCGCCTGGGTGAGGCGGGAGGGACTGTCAGACTCTTATTGACTAAAAAACCACCCCGTTCCTACTCCTGACTTCGAGCCAGAGCCTCAATAACCCGTTAAATTCTCCGCGGCTCCTTATCGGCATCAGCCCTAAGATAATATAATAAGAATACACTAAGAATAAAGCCCAGTATCAAAAAATAACCCCCAAACCACACAAAAATAGCTTGAAATTACAAATTCCATAATATAAAGTCTTATTCAGAAACAAGATCTTTGCCGACTTTATAACATAGTTGTCAAGTAATAAAAACATTTTATGATTCGAAAACTTTATTCGTTCCTTCGTATAAAACTTGAAGGTTTCAAGGATCGGGAGGTGAGTAGGCGAGTCCAATATTCCTGAGTTCACAATCTTCTTGCATGAAATCCTTTAGCAGAAGTTTCTTCAGGGCAGTACGGCGTACCTGTTATATTAAATTTGCATAAATCTACCTCGTTTGCAATATACTTAGCATTAATGAGGCGTCAAATAACAGGAGACTTAACTTCTGGAAAATTCCTAGACTAATGAATGTTTCGCTTGAAAATTCCTAGAGTAATGAATGTTTCGCTTGAAGTTTATGTGTGAATATTTAGGGGAATTAAAAAGTTTCCTGCCCTCGGGAGACTGGTATCATCTTGGTCGTAAGTGATTCGCGTTTGAAGTAACTTTGTTATGTAATTTACGCTGCTATTTGTAGCTTTATTGTTTTACAATTTCAGTGTCGATTAGTTTTGTTTAGGTACTGTCTGTGTTGAAAGTGCGTGTGTTAAGAAGTCTAGACAGAATTATCGATGTAATGGGCTTGTGCATAATAACCTTTTTTTTCGCCCGGGGAAAATACCGTGCATACCCGGTCTCGCGCGGCCGAAGCCGGTTTATGTGGTACTCGAACCCACTAAAAACCCCGAGGCCTGCCACTCGCGCATGAGGGCGGGCCACGAGAACTGTACTTTCGCACTGCGTTCGCGACCCGTCCTGCGCATCATACTAACCTACTTCAACTAGTACATATAACAAAACCGCACTCAGAAGGCTTAATAAGATCTTGGTTTGCATTGAAAGAAACGAGACTCTCGGCGCTCTGATTGGCCGGCTAAACGGTAAAATAAACTGGTACGAAGGCCTCAGACAGCCTATTCATTTAAAATATAGGTAACGTTACTCCACCTGTTTCATTATTCAGTGTTCAGTCCGTAGCCAGTACCTCTAGAGATCATTGTATAAAAACTAAATTATATACACCAAGCATTTAATATTTATGAACAACGTTAATTTATTAATTTAGGTACTAAGGTCATTATTACACCTAAAATTTTACGCTAAATTAGACGTGATTATTAAAATTAGTCTTAGTAAGTTATATGTACTTTCTAAGATTATTTAGACACCACTGACAAACGGTGAAGGAAAACTTCGTGAGGAAACCTGGGCTTATAATTTCTAATTATAAGTTTGTAATCGCCAACCCGCCTTGAGCAAGCGTGGTGATTAATGCTCAAACCTTCTCCGTGTGAGAAGAGGCTTTGCTCAGCAGTGGGCATTTATAGGCTGTTAATCAACAGCCTATATGATGATTCAAATTAGATGCGCCCAAAAATACTTTTATCTACTAGAAATATTTTGTAATTTTGAATGTCTTTGTTCATTAAACCTCAACTAAAAAAACGTGTAGATATATATATGTAATCTATGCATTATTTTAATATTATTCCCGCAAATAGAGTCAATAAATTAACCACCAATTTAAATAAATCCAATAAATTTTCCTATTATAGAAAATACTTTAATCTTGCCAGGTTTAAACAATAAAAAATATTTAACATCATCATCAACAGCCTATAAATGCCCAGTGCTGAACCAAGTAGGAACGGGGTGGTTTTAACTCGTCGAGTACCGGTTTTATAGACACAATTAAAGAACAATAGGTCGCGGTCACCGGTGACCGCTTGGTTTTGACAGTTTAAGTCAGTAAGAGTCTGACTCTTCCTCCCGTCTTACCTAGGGGAGAAGTCCTTCGATGATTTTAACCCCTTAAAAAAACTATGTGAAGGCGTAAAACCTCTTGCCCTCAACGTACTCGCCATGTTTGTTTTGGTCAATGAAAACTAATCTTTTAGGGGAAGGGAAAAAAACTAAAAGGTCACCCCGTAAACTGACCTAAATAAAGAAAAGATAGTAAATGTTGACTAAGTGACGTAAAGTTGGGCAATGTTCCGCTGACCTTAGGAAATTGATCCCTTGAGTGGGCCCGTTAATCAAATCGAGTGTCGTCAACTTGTCATTTTGTTATTTCTTAGTTGCTTAATCATTTCAAACATAGACTACTGATAAAACATAACATAACATCACGCCTTTTATCCCCGAAGGGGTAGGCACAGGTGCATATTAGGGAACTTAATGCCACTGTACCATGTAAGATGTAAGACGCCCACTTTTCACTATTTATGTTATGTGTCCCATTCCCATGTAATAGGGTGTGAACCTATTGCCATATACCGGGCGCAATTCCAAACTCCGTGCTACTACTGAGATTGTTTTAATCAGTAATACTTTGCCCGACCCGGGAATGGAACCTGCGATCCCTTGCCTCTCGGACTATGCCAACGAGGTAGTCTACTGATAAAAATATACCAAAAAAAAAAACAAAAATGATACTGATAAAGGGAAGTCGAACGTTTTTGATGTCAGTAAAAAGCATTTTTGTATATCAATGCTTTAGATCAGTTACATCATCATCAACAGTCTATAAATGCCCACTGCTGAGCAAAGCCTCTTCCAGCACGGAGAAGGTTTGAGCATTAATCACCACACTTGCTCAATACGGGTTGGTGACTTCAAACATAAGTTTGAAGTGAAGTTGGACACCTGGATTTATGATCGGTTTCTTGGCCTGGTTTCCTCACGATGTTTTCCTTCACCGTTTGTCAGTGACGTCTAAATAATCTTAGAAAGTGCATATAACTCGGAAAAAGAGTCACATTGGTACTTGCTGTTGGTAAGTAATTCAATAATTTTGCATGCCGTAGGGCAAAATGTACTGGGATTCTCCATAAGCTTTATAACAACATATTTGTTACCTACATTTTTGGCAAATAAATTATTTCTGATTTCTGATTTCTAAGTTTCGAAGTTTAGTTCAGTTTAATTTTAATTAAACTGGGTTAGGGGGAAAATCATCCAATGACTTCTCCCGCCTTGGATTGGCTAAAGGGAGTGTCAGACTCTTACTGACTAAAAACCACCCCGTTCCTACTCCTGCTCTTCGAGCCGGAGCCCCGGCAACCCGTTAGGCCTTCCGCGGCTCCGGTAATTCACGACTTAGGTTTAGAAGTAAATTGTGATTTATTTTGACGTGAAGGGTTTTCGTTTGGTTTTTTGCTCATCAACGCGTAATTAAAAGAAAGTTTCGGGTTTATTCGGGTAGAGCAAAACATTAACGGCCTTTCGAGTTTAAAGGTGACTTTCACGGTCAACGCAATTAGGAATTTTGAGTAAATTTCAGAGTAGTCTAAAACCCACTATGGTGGACTATTAGTTAACATACAATAGGGATGATGACAGGGTATGAAAATTAAATAAATAATGTAATTAGTCCGTCAGTTAGGTAATGGAAAAATATTAGACACGTATTTTTCATTTTGTCGTATAATAAAATGATACTTAGATAAAACGAATCAAAGTTTAGGAGTGGGGGCTAAAATGTCATTTCTACGTATAAAATGTACATGGAAGTGACGTCACGCGACATTTCAAATCAATCAACAGCCCAATCCAGGCCCGCATCGAACCCGCACCCTCATGCATGAGAAGCGAGCATCTTAAATCTCCGGGCCACCACGACACGACACGACGTCAAATAAATATAATCATCGAAAGTATTCGTTTCTGTAAGAAAATAAAGAATACGTATCTATTGTTTTAAAATAATCTACCAGACGGATATTAAAATAAAAATGAGGCATCTACCCTATTGTGAGTAAATTTTAAATTAGTCTAAAACCTACTATGGTTGATTATAAGTTAACATACAATTCCAGTAATTAAGTTCATGTTTGTCATTCACAAATATTTTGCAGGGGCGTTAAATTGAAGTTGTCTTTTCCACTATTCATTTTTAACGAATAAGAAATCTAGTCGTAGTTTTAATCAAAGTCCCCTACGTTTATGGAGTACAAAAAGAGCACGTCCTATTACATCATTTTTTAAATAATAAAATGGAAAAGTTTAATTAAAAGTTTGTCAAACTTTATCTAATTAAAACTTTAACATATTAACGTTAACTTTTAAATAAAAACCTCAAACAATATGAACGTATCACATTTTGAATTTTCAACCCAATTTAATCATTTTTTTTATGACATAGGCCGGTAAACGAGCAGACGGATCACCTAATGGTGAGCAATCGGCGTCGCCCATGGACACCTGGAACACTAGAGGCGTTACAAGTGCGTTACCGGCATTTTGTGGGATTAGGAATTTGAGGATCGTTAGGGATTCAGGAATTGGAGAGATTGGGGTAGGGGAGGTTAATTGGGCCTCCGGTAACCTCAGTCACACGACGAAACACAACGCAAGCGTTGCTTCACTATGCTTTTCTGTGAGGCCGTGTCATCACTCCGGTCGAGCCGGCCCATTCGTGCCGAAGCATGGCTCTCCCACACTTTTCTTTTTCTTTTTTTATTTTCATCCATGATTATTTATTCTAGAACTTGTTTAGCCTGTCTGGTAGACGAACTTGATACTGCTACCTACATACAGTATAAATTATGTGTGAATGACCTCAAGTCAATCATGTCTTACGGAGAGCATAGTCATTATTTTCACATTAGGCTCTAGTCTTCATCACCTGTACCTAAGCGTCGAATAAGATGCCCAGGTGCAATGAACTATGCTTTAAGTATAGACACCTACAACGGATGCATCACTAAACGTGTCGACATTTTTTGTGTCTGATTATCATCCAGCTAAACTAAAAATATGGCTTGACGTAGAATTGTAACCATTAATTATATTATGAATATTACATCATCACGCCTTTTATCCCCGAAGGGTTAGGCAGAGCCACTTTTCACTATTTATGTTACGAGTCCCACAATTCCAGACTCCGTGCTACTACTGAGATATTTTTAAAAACCCAGTAGTACTTTGCCCAACCCTGGAATCGAACTCGAGACCCCTTGCCCGGGCAGTCGCACTTGCGACCTTATATTATGAACTTAATTGAAAAAGAATAACCTATGGAGGTTATTGCTCGTTGTTCTCCATAGGAACGAGCAAGAAACTCCAACGAGAAATCTACACTTTGGACCGAGCAAATAGCTTCACTAGAGGACTGACCTACAGATGGACATTTTTAATACTTGTTTGACGGTTAAAAGTGCTTTCCCGGTCTAATTAAAATAAATGATTTTGATTTTAACTTTTTTTTATTATTATCTATGGTTTTACGGACGTTTGATTTTAACTTTAGAATAAAAAGACCGCGGACGCGGGGGGCAGGGATTGAATAGATATATGTAAGTCCGTATTTCCCCCGTGTCCGCAAATCCCCCATCGTCTCCTACATAATATAATTTTACTTAATCGACCGACAACTGGGCTTTTTCCCCTTTTTTTCAGTAACATATAAGAAATTCATATTCAGGTCTGAAAGAAGACACCTATCTTTTCAATCTTCATGGCCCTGATAAATATTCAGCAACAGTTAGGAATCCTAACTTATAATACTAATTCTTATACAACTACTAGCGGACCCGACAGACGTTGTCCTGCATATCCAATGTATAAACAAAAATTCATTCAAATTAGTTCAGCTGTTTAGGATAAATAACCTAAACATCGACTGCAGCGCCATCTGCCGGGCTGATTTGCCCCTTAAACACACACAAAAAATTTCATCAAAATCGGTCCAGTCGTTTGAGAGAAGTTCAGTGACACACACTCACAGAAGAATTATATATATAAAGATTCTGGAATTGTGCCCATTGTGCTTTTAACAAAACATTTGCCCGACTATGCCCGACATCACATGGGACTAATAAAATCTCTCGGAATATGTTACACAAACACATCTCTGCATACCGAAGAATGAAATAAAACGTAAGTGGATAGGAAATATCATTCCTACGCTTCAGGAACACTGATAAGTAGGTACTCCTATTTTGTACGTGCCTTTAATACGAAACGAATTAGCTCATGAGCCGAAGTTTACCGAACATTACCGAAGCGTTTAACTCAAATCGTAGCTCTGAGTAATTTTATCAAAACCCCTTTAAGTAGTGTGAGCTTAAAGTTTCTTAGTCAAATTCAAGTGAAATATAAACCAAGAGCTCTATTCTCACCACACTTTGAGAAAGGTATTTTACTTATAGAAATTAAACATTAGGTATCATACATTTTGTTGCATAATTTCCAGTCTAACTCTAATCTATCGCCTCTACTGAAAATTAACATTTTTGCAGATTGAACTTTGTTCTCTTGGAATGGGCGATGAAGCTATAATTGCTTTCGAGCTCTCCCTAGCGATAATTGGCTCGTTTCCTAGGTATAAAATAAATTGTTTCAACTTTTCAATGCAATAAATAATTAAAAAATAATCATACTCTCATCCATTGATTTGACAATTTACCTACTTTTGGACGTTTTCTCGCTAATTTTAAAGAAATAAGTATGCTATTTGACGCAGAAATTTGATGACGTCATAAGTTGCGATCCAATACAAAATTCATATAAAAACATTTCAATAAAAGTATTGAATTTGACTACCCGTCAACTACTGTAATAAGAAAGCTTTCGTCGTTTGTGTAAGTGAACCAATAATACATAATATCAATGTATTGATGTGTACAGTATGAACTAACCGCCAATGTCTGCCACTTCGCTTGCCGCAACTCTTCACGGATGAACATCATTTCGGGACGAAGGTGCCGATGTGCTAAGGGATCCATGTCTATCTGAAGCCTAGGATCGATATTCGCAAGCTGCTGGTCACTGAAAAAATAAATAAATCATTTCTAGCCTTCTTTCATTTCACAATAACAACACACTTATGAGTTTATTGTTATTCCCAGGAGAGATAAGACGAAATTCGTAGTATGTAGATTTTTATCAAGCAGTTTAAAAGTACTCAATCCAGCAACAGAACCCTAGACTTTATGAATCAACGTTGCAGTTACCTAATTTACCAGAATAAGGTAGCAGTTTTAGTTTAAAATTCAGACTGCATTTTACTGCCATCTATACTAGACTGCTAGAAACTATGTTTCTTTAGTTTGATTGATTACAACCGTTATAAATAGATGGCGCATTTGTTGTTAACAAATAAATGTAATTCAGTGATTGTTTCAATAAAACATTGAAGCTTTTTAGATACACTTATTAAAAAATGCTTTTTATAATTTTAAAGTATGTCAATAACAGTAGTAAAGTTCATTTTATTACAGCGAAGCCGCAATTAGTGAACGTAAGAACAACATGAATGACGTATTTAAGAATATCTATTTCTGTGCAATGATAAACTATTTTTACGAAATCCTTATCAAATAAAATAAAATAAATATGTATAACGCTACTTATGTTTTTGCCCTACAATGACACTAGATGTCGTTGGCAAACTAAATCTATACTTGCTCTTTTTGTCTGACCACACAATGTGAATTAATTATTTAACGATAAACAAATAAATAAATAATATTTTACAAATTAGCCCCAACGTCGGCTTCTAGAGCTCCCGCTTCTTCTAAAGTCTCTCCTGCACCATCTTGTTCGTCTGGAGCAGACATTGTTTATCTAAAATTTTCTACCTATTAAAAATTAATATACAATCTAAATTCTTGATAAAATACTTAGATAAAATTATATTCTCGAGTTCTTATTCGCGTTAACAAATGTCCAATATTGACAAATACATATTTTTTTCTTATTATACTCTTTGATTCTAACTTAGAAACTTGGCCAGTACGTACTAAAAACAGAGTTTCTTTAACAATTTTTTATTTATCATTTAAACAGTTCGTCGATAAAATAAAAGCACAATATTTATATTACGTTCATAATATAAAGTGACACAGTTTTGTAAAGTATTATTTTTTGCCACGCCATCTGTAGCTTATTCTTAAAACCAACACCAGCTGACAAAACAAAGCAGTGTACGTTCTGAATCCGTTTTCAGTTCTTATAAATCCTAAAATAAAAAATATTTGACGCAGAATTTCGTAAATAAAGATTTTCACTTTAAAATTTTCAAAGTAAATGATGTAACTAGTTTCAAAATAAAATATTTTAACCCACATAAATTATTGAAGCTACAGATGACTCATCACCATACTACATTTCAAAACGCACTCCCACTCCGGTAAAAGGGTGAGTGAACCGCCTCATTGTTATTTATTGCATTTGCCTCTAATAATACATTAATTAGCCGTTTTACGGACACAGCGAGTGCAATAACATAGGTCGCGAGAGCCATGCCGATGTGAGTAATTTAAAAGGTGTGGCACGACAAGGGGCGTAGTTTCTCGTCTAGTGACATTAGTGGTGTGAAAAATATTCTTCCTAACTCGTCGCAAGATGACCGAGTACAAATTGGTGGTGGTAGGCGCGGGAGGCGTCGGTAAATCCGCATTGACTATACAGCTGATACAAAATCATTTTGTGGACGAATACGATCCTACGATCGAGGATTCGTATCGGAAGCAAGTTGTTATCGATGGTGAGACGTGTTTGTTAGACATCCTCGACACGGCGGGGCAGGAAGAGTACTCTGCCATGAGGGACCAGTACATGCGGACGGGGGAAGGCTTCCTGCTGGTGTTCGCAGTGAACAGTGCTAAAAGTTTCGAGGACATTGGCTCCTATCGGGAGCAAATCAAGCGGGTGAAGGACGCGGAGGAAGTGCCCATGGTGCTGGTGGGGAACAAATGTGACCTGCAGGCCTGGGCAGTGGACATGGCGCAGGCGCGAGAGGTGAGCCTTGTTTACATAATAAACCACTGCATACTCCACACTACACTCACATGTCTCTTGTTTGTGTACACTCTGCCAATGCACTGCAGAGCTGACCACAGAGCTGTAAACTCTTTAACAAGCATTGTGGATTGTTACACTTGACTAAACAACACCAATTTGTCTTATAATAGCTTATGTGGAGCTGTTGTAATCATCTTATGTAAGATTTTTATTTGTGTACATGTACGCATTTATTCAGTCGACTCAACTTCCTACATCACCTAAGATTAAGGCTAACCACTCTTTAAACTGAAGTATAAAGATAGAATTAATTCAATCACCTTATGCTAAAAGGAATGATGTCACAGCTATATACAAATATGATCGCTGACGACAAATACAGGTCAGTGGATAACTAGTCTCATAATATGTGACCACGAATGTACTTCATAAAATTAATATAAAAGTCACATTGTACCTTGTAAAAGTTTCTATGATGTAATCAACATAACTGAGGTAAATAATTGAAATGAACATAAAATTAATTAGAGTAAATTTTATGTATGTGTTTCTTGCGCAAGAAATCCTCGCATAAACTTAAAACAAACTATGACTCGGGACTTTGACCGAGATTTTATCTTACCTTAAAATTATGTTCTGTATAAGGATTACTCTAGATCGCCTCAGTAAACATGGTGTTAGAAGTATGTTTAAACTATTTAAGATATTTGGTAACATCGCCTAATAGTTGCGCAAACAACTTGGAACTGTATTACATTAACCTCATATTCACTGTATTACAAAATTCACATGTGATTTTATGTGAGGCAGTTTCAATGTTATTCTTTGTCTTTTATTTAAAGTGAAGTTATTTTTCTTTAGTAAATATTTTGCAACTTGTTATCTTGGTGTAGAACAACAACCTGTAGGTGATATGTTTAATGCAAACGTCAATAAATACTTGATGTTGAAATTGTTTATAGGTAATGTATGAGACACCTGTAGCTTTGTCCTCATACGAGGTTGAGGATTATACTGTGTTTTTTAAACCAAATCAGATCCATAATTACAATTTCTATATCAAAATTCTCAGTGAAATGGAGTCCACAATCATGTTGTTTTATATTACACTTGCTTTGTTGCAATAATGTATTAATTCAAGGTTGTTTTTCAATGTCAATTTAATCAAGTTGCCAAGTTTGCCTGATCCAGGATTTAAATCCCATGCGTTTCAGTTTTATTAAGCAATCAATTCTTCTATAAAATTATAATCAAGAATTACATAACTACCTAGGTATATTTTATTTTTAGACCTGTGTGTCATGTCTATACCATGTAAACAAAAAGGAGGACATTTTATTATGGACATGATAATGTCTATAAAAGCAACAACAATTCTCTGTGGTTTCACCCATATTTATATGCTATTTTCAAATTCTTAACAAATTAACTACCACAAATAGTGTAAATAAGTTGATTTTTATTCATCTATTGTCCAGAAACTAACCAGCTGTTAATGTTATAGAATAGTATGAAATGTCATCTAAAATAAAATAGTATTAAATGCCATGTGTGAGGTTTATAAAGTGGTTATTTTTAATCGCATTCATATGAATGAACCCCTCAGCATTAATAAACAATGCACTATCAAATCAAATAATAAAATCATTACAAAGAAATATAAAGTTACCAAACAAACCGTAGTTCATAAACATACAGCTATTTCCTCCTCAGATGAAACGAGAGAAAATAAGCAAGTTAGCAGGCAATTAAAATTAATTAAAATGTTCTTAAGACGTGAGTCATATGACATCTGTACACTGTACAGTCTCATGTGCTACTTTAGTTCAATGAAAGCAGTTCATAATACTGCACTTTCAGACGCTTGTTTCAATTATTTTCAGACTTGTAATTAAAGTGAAATTGTGTTCATCTTTGCTTTGTTTTTGTCTTCGGTTTGCTTCGTTTCTGTTACATATGCAGACTTGGATGGGTATTTTTGAAAAGAAATTATATTGTAACAGTGTATTTCTTAAGTTTCTGTTGTTTTGAATTTATGCCATGATATCAGATATGACTAGTTATAGTAACACACCAATTAAATACCATAATGGATATAGTGAAATGTTAAAGGGCTCCTAGGGAGGTACTGGCGTAGGAAAGGGGTTGGTTTTTAGTCAGTAAGATAGTCTGACACTCCTTGCGCCTCACCCAGGCGGGAGAAGTCATTCGATGATTTCCCCTCCTTTAAAAATAAAGGTACTGGCTACTATTTTCCTATCTGCTATGTATTCACTTAGAACTTTAAATAACCAACAGTACCACCTGGTGTAGTAAACTGTAGTACTAGCAGTAGTAGAGTACTCTACACAAAGAATAATATTTGCATTACAAATCATAATAGTTATGACATAAAAACTGACAATACAATATTATGCTATAGTTTATGTCTACATTTTACGTATTCTGTTAACATTGAACTACGTTTACTGTTTCTTAATTATACACTAGATAAAAAGTTTTAACTTTTAGATACACATACATCATAAGTAAACATTACGAACTGGCCCGGCCAACTTGTACCGCTTAAAATTTTTTCGCTCATTAAACATTCCCTAGAAAATGTGAAGACCAAAATTTCCCAAATCGGTGCAGACGTTCTCGAGATTTAGCGAGACTAACAAACGGATTCATTTTTAAGATTAATTATTAATTATATCAACACACCTTTATTTCCTGTAAGTTTAATCAGAACTGCACATTGTACATTTTTAATTAACAACCAGTGTCATCGATTAGTTATGTCTAAAAAAGAAATCCAACCCTGTAATGAAGTTGCGGTGAACCTAACGGGTAACCGGGGCTCCGGCTCGACGTGCAGGAGAAGGAACGGGGTGGTTTTTAGTCAGTAAGAGTCTGACACTCCCTTCCGCCTCACCCAGGCGGGAGCAGTCATTCGATAATTTTACCCCCTTAAAAAAAAAACCCTGTAATGAAACCAAAGACCCACTAACCCATAACTTACCATTCATGGTGTGAGCTACTCGACTACCACACATAAAATTTCATTTTTATTGAGCTTACTCATTTTGTATTAATAATTTATTTATAGAATAAAAATATACCATTTGTGGTTTATATTCTATCACCATATTTGGTATTATTTGGTCAGTTCAAGGCTTGCAACTATTTATAGGTACTTTTTTGGATTCTCTTGGCTTTTACATCATACTTGTTTGTCCCAGAGTGATGTTAACAGATGTGTATACTTAATATAATTTTCAACAGTTAAAGCAAATTTTGCTGTTAACATAATTATAAAAAATAGACTGAAAGTTACCCAAACATACAATAAAATGGTAGAGTAAGTCCCCTGCTCTCTAATTATGGTAGAGTAGGGGTTTTGTTTACTCGAAATTAACTAGCAATCTCAGGAATTTATTACAGTCAACTTGATTTTTAGAAAACTCTACATATAGGTCTACTTAGATCTACTTACATTGCATAATTATGTACACTTCTGCCTATCCTAGACCGATGTGTTGGGGATTATAAGACATTATGTTTTCTTACCGTAAACAAAAACAAACACTTTCCCTCTTAGAGAATACGACTATTAAACATGGCGGAATTTATTTATAAAAACAACAATAACTGAGGAAGTCCCATTCAGGCTGGTGTATGTAAGTGTAAATAAACAAAACATATCATCACGCCTTTTATCCCCGAAGGGGTAGTTAGAGATGCACATTATGCCACTGAACAATGTAACATCCACTTTCACTATTTATGTTATGAGCCCCATGTGATAGGGGTGAGTCTATTGCCATATACCGGGCACAATTCCAGACTCCGTGCTACAACTGAGAATTCTTTAAAATCCCAGTAATGCTTTGCCCGACCCGGGAATTGAACCCCTTGCCCGGCGTCGCACTTGCGACCACTCGGCCAATGAGGCAGTCAAAATAAACAGCTAAATAAACAGCTTGATAATTAATTATAAAAGACACATTAATTACCCCTTTATACAGTAATGTGATTTATATGGTCAATGGTCCGAAGTTGATGTTTACAACATAACATCAACTTCTATCGCTATTTAGTGAATATCCCTGCAAAGGTATTTTATGTATGTATATTCTCAGTTCACAATAACATCATAAGTTCATTAAGTACCTAAATTGTGTAATTATTTTGTTTGTTATGTATGTACATATAGTATTTATAAATCTTTAATGTATTAGTTTATAGTACTCGATATGGGCCTATGATGCCTGAAATAAATAGATTAATAAAAAATAAATAAAACCCCGGCAAATATCCAAAGTAACTACAAATTTTTTCCACTTTTGTTGTGAGTGTATTGTCATACACCTGTCACAAATCACCAATAATACTTTTCAGCTATTCCTAACTCAAGACTTATTTCTTTCAAATCTTATCGACACTGGCACTCTCTCGCCCCACCTAAGGCGGAAAAACTCATTTGAGAATTATCCCACCCCCCCTCTCAAAAAAGACCTAGAGGTGACTGTGCAAGTGGGCTGAAATACCAAAAAAATGCTGAGTTGAATTCTCAATAAATAAAATCCAAGCAGTTACTATGGGTGGTCTCCGAAATGGTCCTCCTATGTTAGGGATTATTCTAGTATTTGTTTATTATTTCGTTAATAACAACTGGATATGTCAAACACGGAACGAAGCCCTCTATAAACAATGCCTGCTTCAAAACAGGAAGCTTGCTTAGATGACGAATATCTATTTCGGATAAAAAAGTTTAGAAATCCTAAGAAAACTACACACAAAGAGCGCGTGTTTGATAGGAAGTCTTATAGAATCAGTATTACACATCAAATTAGCCGTCCATGACAGGTCTCCTACACAACACCAGGCGTTTTATCCCCGAATGAGTAGTCTGAGGTGCACATTACGTCACTGTACAATGTAACACCCACTATTCACTATTTATGTTATGAGTCCCATGTAAAAGGGGGTGATATATAATTGGGTCTGCACTTTGTATAAAATCAATGATCTTCTCTTAATTCTTACTTTGGAATGTCCAAAATATACGTACATCGGAACGGTTGGTTATCCTCTGACTTCCAACTATTTTTATTATTTTCATAATCGTATACTCTGAGTAATAAGTACCAAAGTGTGCATTGAACACAAGTACATAATAAATGGATAACCGTTGTATCATTAGTCACTTTAACAATGTTTTGATGAGTTTAAAATGAACCTACTGTGTAATAAGACACTGTAGGTATACTTTAATTAAATCATCGTATATGAGTAACTTCCTCGTGTAATATTAAATAAAGATACACAAGTGAAGCGTCAGACAATACTAGGTTACATACCTGTCTCTCGGTCGAGGTCTTTACGTCGCTTAGTTTGTAAAAATGGCCCTGAAATGAGGCTTCAAATTGATTTATTTAGTAAAATGCTGGCATTCAGCCAGCTGGTTTAAACTCCGTAGTGCGTCTGTAGCCTTACTGACCCCTAAATAATGGGGTAGCACTAAGAGAAAAGGTTATGCTGTTGTTACTACTTAGTCCTACTAGTAGTCAAGAAGAGACACAAAAACAGCGTTTATAATGATTATTTGCAGACATCAAAATTATTTATACAGTTTTTGGTGTAACACGGAGTTTAATATGAAACGGTGAAGCTATAAACATCCTATAAAACCCCTTTCAAGACCAACCAGACTAGGCAGCAAAACTGTAGAATGATCTGTTGTCGGCAGCATTTCCGAACCGATGCGACCTTCAAATCTTTAAGAAAAGAGCGTATTCCTTTTTAAAAGGCCGCACCTGCACTTCTTCTGGTGTTGCCAATGTCCAATAATCTTTATTTAACAACAAACACGTAACTGTTAAAAACTACGTCAAAGTTAAGACCAAAACAATTTTTGTATTAGTAAAATGTCCTATCTGTTTTCGCAACCGAAAATGTTCAAGTAATTCGATTAGTGGTTAGAAATTTTTGGGTACTGTCTACCATCCGCCAACTTAATGGATGACCTTTCAACCTTTAAGCCTCTTTCTGAAGTTCAACTTTGAAGGGTTTAACTGAAAGTTTGTGGCCAAAGTTTAACTGTCATGGGGGTATTGGTCTCGAGGGTTGGGGAAGCAACTGTTCGTTGTTTTTTGGTTACATCGCGGAATGGAATCGAGATTCTTATCTGTTTTAATTTCACCTTTTACAATATAATATGAATTGGTTATTCAACACTAATCTATAACTGTACTTAGTGCATTTTTTAGTCTTATGTTAAACTTGTTGTTGCCCGCGACTTTGTCCGCGTAGAATATGATTCCTCTTTTATCTAATGGGAACATTTGATCGGGATAAAAAGTATATCACCTGCCTGTATCCCAAATTTCATCAAATTCCGTTCAGTAGTTTCAGCTTGTTTTACGGATAAACATCCAAACAAAGGAAGTTTCACATTTATAATAGTGTGATTAAGTTTGAAACATCTTTTAACTCGTCGAGTACCGGTTTTATAGACACAATTAAAGAACAATAGGTCGCGGTCACCGGTGACCGCTTGGTGTTTGACAGTTTAAACTGTCAAATACCAAGCGGTCACCGGTACTCCGGTAAACCGGTACTCGACGAGTTAATAAGCTTGCAGCATCGTAAATGTTCTACAGGTTTGCCTGTAATAATATTATGCAGAGCATTTACGATTGACAGATTGACATTAATTACAGACATGTAATTAACTAAATAATTCCACAAGTCCAGACCAGACTGCAATTCGAAATGAAATTTTTTTAGACGAAAAATCACATCGGGAATCCAATGTTCCACAAGCTTGTTAACACTGATTTGACCTACATATCAGACGATATCAGTCATGCACTAATAAAATAAATCGTCCTAGCCGTCCTACCTAAATCTAAATGCGTTTAGCATGTGCCGTCGCCCGTCATAGCCGCTTTTTATCCTTTCTTTGACGTCATAGACGTTTCATTTACGTCACCTCGTCAAACAGAGACAACTTTGTCTATTGTGATGTCTGATGCCTGTCTGGTTTTTTGTATATTTAATAACTATTTGCATTTATGTAGATTGTAGGTATACTTAGCAATGACTTAAAGATAGTGAAGTTTCTTGCTCGTTCTTCTTCATACGAATCTAAACTTTAGAACGAACACCTAGTTTCACTGGCGGATTGTTCTGTATTTAGTTCTGTTCTAATATAAAACTTTGACGGCAACGAGGCCGAGTGGTCGTAAGTGCGACAGTCGGGCAAGGGGTCTCGGGGTCGATTCCCGGGTCGGGCAAAGTATTACTGGGTTTTTAAATATTCTCAGTAGTAGCACGGAGTCTGGAATTGTGCCCGGTATATGGCAATAGGCTCACCTCCTATTACATGGGTCTCATAACATAAATAGTGAAAAGTGGGTGTTAAATTGTACAGTGGTATAATGTGCACCTCTGCCTACCCCTTCAGGGATAAAAGGCGTGATGTTATGTTATGTAATATAAAACAGACTTTTTTTAAAAAGAGTACCGAATGCAGTTTATTGCTTGTTCTTCTCCACTCGAATCGACATTTTGGAAAGAGCGCCTAGCTTTACTGACGGACACACTGATAGACTATTATTTATTTCATATTTGTTGACGTTTCAAAAGTACCAAATTATGGTTTAATTGAAATAAATGCTTTTGAGTTAGAGTTTGAGTTGAGTTTAAATGAACTTTCTTTCTTTCTTTACTTTGACTTTACTAGTCATTCTAAATGTGATTTGATGAGGTCTTGAATTGTATCCTGGGTTGGGCAAATTAGGAGTGTCAGATCTTTAGCAATATTTGATCATATCTGTCGTATACTACAGTATTAAGTTTTGACAGTAACTAAGTTTTGTGTACTATAAATTAGTCAAGGCAATAACATAGCAGTTGTCATAATATGTTTAAACTTTCTTATTTAATGTATCTTTTAACGATGTTACTTTCAATTCCCATTTTAACTGCTGCAAGGATGAGGTGGGTAATGAGAGTGAGTAGTGTACAGGGTACGAACATGTTAAAATAATCAAGAAATTAAAGTGGGACTTCTTTACTTAAAAACTTAAGGGGTGTTTAAGTTTCAGACTTGACTGTTGTTTGCTATTCTGATACACATAATTTCTTGGCTTTCTGTAGTTTTTACTTGCCCACATAAAACGAGGACGTGATTTTATGAATATTTGTGTAAACTACGAATCTTCCATCAAATTAAGAGTTCACGAACCTGACACTACATTCACAAGTATCTACAACACTTACTTACACCAAATAGGGAGATTGCAATGACTGATTAAGACATCACGCAGTTTTAAGAGCCTACTATCAACATCCCACAACACGCCTTAATCGTGTTCTGAAACACGATTCAATGGAGATTATAACATTGAATTACAAAGTGATAAAGCTGTATTATTACGATTGCAGGTGGCGCGGAGTTACGGTGTTCCCTTCGTCGAGACGTCAGCCAAGACCCGCATGGGAGTCGATGACGCATTCTACACACTTGTCCGAGAAATCCGCAAGGACAAAGCGAGTCGAGTAAAAAGGAATAGGAGAGGACGAACCATAGGCCCCGGACGAAAGTTTAGGTGCACCTTTCTGTAATTCGATAAATAATTTAGTAATAATATTTGTGGATATTATCTGACGGTTGACGGTGAACGTGTAAGTCAATTTTATTGTCGACAAACTACCCTTTAGTTAATGATTTTTTTAAAGGTAATCGATTAACAATCGATTAACCTTTCTTAGGCTAGACTACAAATTACACAAAATAGTTTTTGTTTACAATAATATTGACTACGTGCCAGTAGGCTAGATCGACTACACAGCTCATGAACGTGAAAATTGAATCTTATAACCCACATTTTAAGATTCCATTTTGGCGTTCCATAGTGTAGCTAACTTTAGGGGAATCGCTAAAGGTATGAAGTAAATACTTATTAGCCTTAATATAAATTTATATTACGAAAACTTCAGATCAACAGTTAAATCTATTTGTGGCCCATCCTGAATCTATTTACTAATCAGCTATATATGCAAACCGTACATGATATACAAATATATAAGTGATATAGAATAAAAAACTATATGCAACCAGTCAAACATGATTTACAAAAATTTGGTGCAAATCAATTTAGATACTTATGCGCTTTTCGACTAATATTTACCATTTATATAAAAACATTCTACATAGCATGTAATCCTTGTATAATATTATTTGTAATTAGCTAATCTCTGTGAGAAATATCCATAAATATTAAATAATATAATGTAGTAATGAGGCAGTTCTAAAATCTTTGGCGTTCTTCTGGGGCTGAGTAAAAATTATATGAAAAAAGAACCTTTTTGTACAGTGAAATATTTCAGAAGTTATGTACTTTGTGCTTATTTTGTATAAGATACTTCAAGCTTGAGTGTGTGGACATGAGTGTATCTTTGTGAGGGTACCTGAAGATACAAGTTCATTGTTCAGTGTTCTACTCATACCGAAATTATAAGAAGATTCCTTAAAAGAATACACATAAGTGCGCATTTTAAATGTCTCGTTGATCGAGTATTGATTACCGCATTTGAGGGCTAAGTACAAGTTTGTTTTACATTTAAAATAAAGGAAACAAGACCGCGTTCGGCGCATTGATTGGCCGGCACCAAAGCACCAACCAATCAGAGCGCCGAACGCGGCCTCGTAAATAGAACAAACTTGTACCAAACTCTCTGCTGACCATGTGGTCTGAAATTAAAGAAAACTGTTAGACAAATTATGTATTAACACATGAGTAGAACCGTAAACAATGAACTAATTTATACTTGTCTCAATAAAGTTAGTATGATTATAAGCTGAAGCTAAAGTTTATTCTATGAATTAGAATACACCTCTCATTGAAGATATCTACTAAGTTAGCGGGGTTTATCATTACCGCCCCTCTAACCATAGACTTCAGTCTTGACTGACGGAGGATAGACAAGATTCTAATTATTTATTTTTAAGTATTAATCCCAAATTAGAGAATTAAGAATAATTTTTTGAGGCGAGAAAAGCTGTATGATAAGTTTCCAATCATGAGGGTGATCTTTTACTAAGCTTTTTGAGCACTTTCTATCCTTTTATTCTATTTAATGTTATATCTGAATTTTTCTATAATACTCAACTTACAAGTTCTGGCATTGAGTTCTCAAGGTGCTATTTGGAACATAGTATGCTTGCAGAGGCCGTATATGTAAAGAAATGTAAGTGTGTATCTATATCATACTGCTTTATACATAAACTACAGCTGTACTTACTGCCTACGTCTTACGTACTGTATTTCTTAACCTCCGGAATATTCCATTAAAATGCATGTTTTTATGATGTCAGAAAATGAGAGGAGGGCTCGAATTACTTCATAATGGTTGTGCATTATACAAATACAAGTTTAGATTGGTTGTAGACAATTTGTTTAGTACAAATAGTGCACAATTGTTTATTTACAAGTACGGTTTCTTATTTCATTTTTATTGGGGCGAAGAATTCAAACGAAAAGTATAATAATTGTGACAATTACACCGCGGGCTCTATCCTACATCATATCATTACTACAGTAAGCATTCGTTACATTTTGTACCCTCTATAATAGGTCCTTTCTTACTTGTTTTCTTAATCTTATGTCTCTTTCGTTTAATATTTGGCTAAGCTCATCATGAGGAGTCATAATCTAAAGCCCATTGATCCATGCCTTAAAATCTACAATATTATACATGATATCAATTAATAATCTGTGGAATGCTAGTAGGAGTAGTTCCTAAGAAAGAGTAGAAACTAATTTGTGGTAGTCTACTAGTTTATATTCTTGTTAATGGTTATCTAATTGATTCTTCAACTCGTGTAGTTCGTGCCCTCCTCTCCTCCGTAACCCGAATGACTAGCAATAATATCATTATACAATCGTTATTGTAGCATAATATTAGGAGCATTGTTGAATGTTTTCTACTTTAGCTAGAAGCAATTTTGCAAGCTATGTTGAAGTTTATACTACTTTATGACTTACGCTTGTATTTTTTGGTAAAATAATTAAACGTAACTATAGGATTTGTAGTACCTATTTCCTTTGCCGTAATAGGTCGTCGAAATAATTGGCAACATTATTTTTTGGCAAAGGACGAATCCTACAAATCCTATTTAGTTACGCTTAAAATTGCTCATAAATTGCCCTCTATGAACTTCTTAGGGAATTCCGTTGTTTTATCCAATTCTAATATTGCGTGTTATACTTATGTAAGCATGCAAAATGTTTTACAGTGTTTATATTTTACTCAGCATGTACAATGAATTATTCAAACGAATTTTATCAGATATCAACAATCATACTTTTAATATTTTGACAGCGTTTTTATTTAGGATTTTAAGTTAATATTACAATTTTTAGTTTTAATATAGTTATAGTATAAAAATACACCAGGTACTTCCTTTGTTTTGTTTTTTGACGGATAGTATGATTGAATGTGTCAGTATAAAATATTTTTATTAGACCTAATCAACTATTAGCGTTCAAATGTTATTTTTAGCCCAAATAACACCGCTCTGAAGGCAGGCTTTTGAGTGCATGAACTAGACATAAATAGACACGGTCGATAATGAGCTAAAACGACGGCAATGTACTTGTAGCCTACTTCAGAGGGGTTGTTATTTGACTTGTGCTAGTTACACGTGCAGCAAATCAATTTTATGCATGTTACCGAAGGCCCGTTAGTAACACTGACAACAGCGATAAAAACACTAAATGCTTACAAAAAACTTTACCAGAGTCAATGTTAGTTACGTGCAGTCAGTACCATTTATCCTTTCATTAGGTGCCAAAATAAAAGTACTTGGTATATTTTTATGAATTATGTAATTTAAGTTCGAACGAAAAATCCAAGCTGCCATGAAAATCGTCATCAGCCAGAATAATTTTTGCCATGAATTATATATACCTACACCCATTTCGTAGCCATAATTTTGTATTTAACGAAAATATTTTTTAAAGCTTTGCAATAAACATTTACAATATAAAAATCTATGTAAAGCTGTATATGAATATTAAGTAGCTGGTGAGCGTTGTTCAAATGATTACTTTTTTCTTAAGTAGTTTTAATTTGTCCTGAAAAAGAATTGTAATATTTGAGACAACGCTCACAAGCGAGGGCGTATAGTATGTAATATTTTTTATTATATTAAATATAAATTTCAAAGCTAGTGCACAATTTTGTTGGAAATAGTTGATATTTTATAACTAATTAATTCTGTAACAATATAGCACAAGACTGTGTGCTAATTGAAATAAATAAAATTGACGAGGTAAAGCGTTTTATTTATTTATTTACAAATACAAATTCTTAAATCTATGAAACCTAAACAACCGATTTCAAAGAAGAAACCGATATCGTATATCGCATATTTAAATGTATCAATTATGTTAGATACGTTCATTTTGACAACGTGACAAATACCGTAATTGCATGAATGGGGTCTACCAACCATATTTTTGCTCACCATATGGCGCTAGTGTAATCCTCACGTTCTTAGTCCAATACGGAATTGGCTAGTGTCACACCATTGGATGTTCAATATTTCACAGCTGCCGTAATGGACAAAAAACTGTAACCGTTGTGCCATCTGGTAAGCAGGTATACGGTAGTTCCCATTATTACCCTTTCGAGATAAATATTTTCTATAAATTGACAAAATTTTTTTAACCGTAAATTATTTTTTTGGGTTGGGCACCCTAATTTAACTGTCAATGTCAAGAATGTATATCACACGTCATTGATGTCATCAAAAACTTGTAAACATTCAGGAATTTGTTTTATTTCATTAGTTTATTAAGAAAAATACAATACATCAAAAACTATGGACGCGAAAGACGTATGTGTGGAAATAGAGAACGATGAGTTTTACAGCAAGTTCTTAGACGAGTCTATAAAACCAATAATCAATGATCAACTATCGGTCACTGATCAAGTGAATAAGCTCACTCAGGGCATTGAAAAACTTACCAAAAGCTTGGAGAAACAAGTCTTAGCCAAACATAATGATCTACTTACACAGGCAAGTCATATTTCTGACCTAGAACTAACTTTAGAATCGGTACAGTCGCAAGTACAAAGTTTGCTGCGCGGTGCCGAAAAACTAAAAGATAGAGTACACACACCGTACTATGCGCTAGAAAACCAAACAATGATGCTCGAAAGAGTTCAAACAACGTGTAATTTGTTAAGACACGCCTCTAAAATCCTTGCTTTATGGAATAAACTACAGAGTATCAAAGATAACCCATCCAAAGAAGCCATTATAATATTTGAACTTAATGAGCTGATTAGTGACTACGATTTTGAAGGAATAGATCTTCTAGACGAAGTGTTGAAGGCTGTTCAACTTAGGAGGACAGAGTTACTAACCAACTCTACTGAACTATTGCAGTCTAGCCTTCTAAGCGGAGACAAAGCTAAACTGTTGCAATGCTTCAAAGTGTTCCACAACCTGCAATGTACAGAGGAACAGATCAAAAACTCTGTTAACAGTATTCTGAGTGACTTGAAAAAGGAAATAACAAATGCACTGAATGTACAAATGGTTTCAATTGAGGTCAAGAAATCCAGCTCAGGAAGAATTGCTCCTGGAAAAGCTAACATCATGAATGCTCAAGATTTTAAAATAAAACTTTGGGATAACATTGAGAAGCTTTTTAAAGTTGACATCTACAACAGCTGTACTAAAGTCATAATGCTTCAAAATGTTGTTAATGAGTTACATGCTATTGGAAATTTCAGGAATATAGCCAAGAACTTTTGGGCTGATTTATCCCTCGTTTTCAGCAGTGAACTTGAGAAGAGCCCTCTCACTGTCAACCAGTCTGTTGAGATTGACTTCCCAAGATTGCTAAAAAGCTTCAATGATTTACTCTCTAGACTCAAATGTAAGGATCTAGAGATGAACCGTTCAAGTCTTACAAAATGGGAGAATTCATTTTTATCGAAATCTCTAGGGAAGTTACTGGAACCTGTCAGAAGCATGTGGCATCTATCTCAAGTACCAAACATGGATCAAATAGACAATGCCATCAGAGTCATTGCTGAGGCCCTGAGCATCTCACTTGGTGACAAACAGTTAAGCATCAGCTTGGCTAATAGTGTGGCCAAGTCCATCAAGCAAATGACTGTTGAAGCTGAGCAGAGAATATCCATGGACAGTGATGTTGCTCAGATCATAGAACCGCCAACCAGCTCACAGCAAAAGAATGCTGATCTCTGCAACTCCTTGTACTACTTCTCATCTCAAATTAAAAGAGTTCTTGTAAACATGAACTCAATGCTGCCCCAAGAAAGTATACAAATAGTCCAGAATAGTTTGAAAGATATTTCCAGCATGCCCATTCTTCAACTGTTTGCAGAATCCATCAAGAATTCACTTTATATTATATTGATGACAATGCATGATGAGCCCGATTTGATCAGGGCTGATGACCCAACTGGGAAGTCATTGTCATGTTCTCCTTATATGAAAGAGTTGCAGCAATTTGTGTCCAGGTGCAAAGATATTTACTTGTCAATGTTCAATGAAAAATCAGCTCTAAATGAGTGCTGTGTGGACATAGCTAGAGCTTGCATTGAGAGGTTTACTCAGCACATCTGTAATGTGAGGCCACTGAGTAAGTTTGGACGAGCAAAGTTGCAGATAGACTGCAAACATTTAGAGACTGCATTATCTCCTTTACTGAATGATATAACTGAGTTAGGAGATCATTACAGACAGTTGAAGGCCTTGCATCTCTTGCTGGAGAAGACTCCTCAAGAAATAGCCAAGAGTCAGACAGAAGGTGCCTGTTTACCATATTCTTTGGTAATGATGTTCTTGTTCTCCCACGGTGGGCATCAACTGTTGGCTCCGCATACATGTGCTGGTTGGAGCATACAGAAGTTGATGCAGTGGTTGGACTCCCATAAGAATGAGAGGGACAGGTTAGAGTTTGTGGCTGGAGCCTTGCAGAGATATCAGAACCATGTCAGACAGAATCAAATTGCCACATATGATGAAGTGTACCCAGTGCTGCTACAACTGCTAGAAGATGGCAGAAAGTCTTTGAAGAAATAGAATTGTTCGATATGTAGCATGCCTACTCAGCCCATTTGTTAAGTATTATATAAATGAGATGCATTTTAAGCTAGTAATATGTTATCGTTTATTTTATCTTAAGCTATCTCAGCCATAGATATATTTTAAGTTATCACAAAAAGGGTTCCACATTAAAATTAAACTATTATTTCAAATATATATTATTTATTGAAAATAAACTTGTTTAAAACAAAAACAGTGTCTTCTTTGGCCTCCGTCCTCTACATACAAGTGTTGTTCGCGATGTTGCCCACTTCGATCTGACGCAAGACATAAGTATTATAATTTAATTTCTTTCTTTCTTCTTCTTTTTCACCTTCTCCTAGAAAATGAGGAAAGGATAGTAATTCTAGTAAATGGAAGCTAATGAGTGTCTTGGTGAGTAAGGCACTAAGGCTGCTTACTTTGAAATCATATTTACGAGATTGAGAAACAGAGTGGGAGTGGCCTTTGCTACCTTTAGAATAGGCCTATCAAAATGTATGTGAGCTTCGTTATAGCACAGAAGCCCAACTTACAACAACTTGTAGTTTTGTTGTAACTAACTCTGTGGTCTGGACTCTGTGGTCTGAAATAAATAATTATTATTTATTTATAACAACTTGAAATCTAGATTTTCCTGATCCTGACGTACCTTGATGGCAGTTCTAGTGGTGCCTAAGATCATGATATGGACTGTTGTAACATTCTCTATAAATAATTAAGTTTACAGCGCGCCTAGTGGTAAGCGGTCACCGTAGCCGACTATATAGAAAACTGCTTAACTGCGCCTTAATATCCGAGAAGGAGGACTCCCCGAAAGTCATGACGCAATCAAACAGCCAAGATGGACACCCGGAACTTACCAAATAAAACACAGCAACATTACGACATCACTTCGCGCTTGCATTGTGATTTCTGTGAGAGGGTGGCGTATATTAAAAAAAAACAGGAACAAATAGTTAAATAAAAATTACATAGAAACTAAACGCAAAGCTATCAGGGCAACCAAAGAAAACTACAGAAATAAAAAAAAAAGAAAATATTTAATTCCATTCAACAACATAATATAATATCTACTGACCAACAAGCATTTTCACACACACAATCTACATAGCAATATCTACATACTTCATACTTCGGTACTTATAATAAACAAATGCATAGACTTATAATGAAATTGGACAAGTTTACTATTTTACTGGGATCGATCTGTGATGTTATACAGGGCCGGATTGCGATCATGACACATCAAACCATTATTCGTTTGTTTAAAGGTTTTTTTTAATTCCCGAATATTAATCCGCCCTGTACTTGATGATTTATAACCGTAGTTCGTCTACTTCTAAAATAATTGTTGTTGTTTTTGGTCATTAATACTGGAAGTAGTTTATTTCAGTGACGGTTTAGTGCAAGTGCAAATATACTGCAACGAAATCATCAACAAAAGCTACACAATTTCTGAATAAAATGCCCAGAATTGATGGAAGTGGTAATTGAGAAAGTTTGGCGAATAAAAAGAAAGTGCTGCCTCTCATGTTATAAACATTTACACTTACAAATAACTATGAAACATATTATATACATATAAATATTGTCTCATTCCCAATTCCATACAAAAATATTCCACCAATTCCATAATAATCCAATATCTATTAAAGCCTACTTGGACTTATTACAAGAAGATGTCTACTGGCAAACTAAACTAAACCTTAAGTAGTTAGGCTACAGTCTATGATTGAACCTGTTGTTGTTGCTGATCGAAGGCGATTTTGAGAATCTCGTCGAAATCGCTGACAAAGTGTATGTCGACCTTTTCTCGAATGAAGCTCGGCAGGTCGTCGTAGTCACGTCTGTTCTCCTCGGGAAGGACCACACAACAGACTCCTGCACGTTTAGCCTGAGGGAAAATAATGGAGTATTAGAAAGTGGGTAACTGAAATATTAATTTTTTTATGGCTTAATATGGTAAACGAGCTGACGGATCACTTGATGGCAAGCAATCGGCGTCGCCTACGGACACCCGGAACCCCAGATGCGTTACAAGTGCGTTACCGGCATTTTGGGGATTAGGAGTTTGAGGATCGTTGGGGATTCAGGGATTGAGGTGATTGGGGAGGGGGGGGGGGATTATTGGGCCTCCGGTAACCTCATTTCACACGACGAAACACAACGTTGTTTCACGTCGACTAATAATTATAAAGTGTTATTTTATCCCATAAATAAGCCCAAAGTATGACATCACATAAATGTGGTGTGAGTTTCTTCTGTTGGTCATTAACTGAATCCAAATAAACTTCAAAGTTTACAATTGCTAGATTCACATAAGTCTTACCCAGACATGTATCGTTGTAAAATGTGTGTAACACAAGTTAATAGGTCTATAGGGCTCGATATAAAAGTACCTACAGGAGAAAAACAAAACAGATTGACCAACTATTCCTCTAAAAAGTACAACATACCGCAATAATCTTCTCCTTGATCCCTCCAACGGGTAGAACTCTCCCAGTGAGTGAGATCTCCCCCGTCATGGCGAGGTCCGGCCGGACGGGGCGGCGCAATGCTAGTGACGTCAGTGCGGTCGCTATGGTACAGCCTGCCGAGGGCCCGTCCTTCGGGGTCGCGCCTTCTGGCACGTGCAGGTGGATGTGACTGAAATACCATGGATGTTGTGTTAATATACGACCGATTTTCAAGTTGACATCAAGCTCTTTAGATCGATCTAGATAACATTTGTCGGAATACTCAAACGCTACTCAATTTTAAGTCGTGCTTAAGTATAGTTCTGTCTCTACAAATTCTTTGTAAAATGACAGAGATGGCACGATGTTTAACCACGACTTAAAATTGAGTAACGTTTCAGTATTCCGGCATTAAACTTTTACTTATATTTAAAATAAAACTAGCGACCCTCCCCGGCTTTGCACGATTGCTATATGCTTGTATTATACATGTAAACCTTCCTTAAGAATCATTCTATCTATTAAAGAATATCGCATCAAAATCCGTTGCGTAGTTTTAAAGATCTAAGCATACATAGGGACAGACAGACGGCGGATAGCGACTTTGTTTTATACTATGTAGTGATAATACAAAGCTAACGAGTTTGTTTGTTTGAATGCGCTAATCTCAGGAACTACTGGTCCGACTTGTAGAATAATATGCCATTGTGTTATCCTGTTAGCAAATTTAAGATTGATTGCATTCTTTCATTTCGCTCTTGGTAATAATCATTATTGTTCTAACCAGTTTTGGAAACCTAAAATCGTCTTAAAATGAATAAATTAATAGTAAACGAAACGCAAAATCACCAAGAAACCTGTTTAACCTCACCTAGTATTCAAGAACTTGTTCTCCGGGTAGTAAATAGACATGTAATTCCTGGCAACAGTGAGTGCGATCCTGGCAGATTCCTTCATGACGTCACCGAGGTGGCCGGTGACCTCCATAGACCCGAAGGGAGACTTGTCATCCGTCGCCGCGTTCCGGATCGCTGTCTCTATGAATAATGTGCTGCCACCTGGATGTAAGGGAGAAATGGTTCTTAGACTTATTAAGGAAATATAACCCTTATGTTTGATATGTTTATATTAGAACTGTCGGCGGATTAGTATGGCCGTCGACCATATGGCGGCGACGCGCGGGACGGGGGTATAAAAAGTAAAAACCCACGGCCGCACGAGCGCCGCGCTTCTTCATCCACCCACGCCGCTAACTCACACCCATAGCTTTCGGGCATTTCTTTGTGTCGGTGTGCGCCGGTCTTGATTCTGATTTGTAATAATTAAACCTACTAATTGTGCCGTCTTCTGTTTTAATTTAAAATAATCCGACAGAGCTACGACAAGAACTTTCTTGAGATATACTAAATTAATTATTAATAATTATATTTTCGGCTTCCTCATGTAACTGCTGATGCTTATGATTATGTAGCGGAATGCTGCTCATGAATATTGGCTTGAAACTAGTCGAGTTCTTCGTCAAACAGTTACGTGATTAAACCGAAAAAATAATAATAAAATTATTTTTTATAAACTCAAACGTCTGGGTGACTATGGTCACCCAAAACTTTTTGGCATTGGATGACGAAGCTGTCAGACTTGGACGTTTCAGTTAAAAATTAACCCGTTGAAATTCATCCCCTAAATTTGTTCCTACAAAAGTAGTCTCTAAACATTGGAAATAAGGTCTATAATGGAGTTATTGGAGAGCGGTCACCGGTGACTGCTTGGGGATGTATGGATTACATTATGTTACCAAGTCATAAAATACTTGTATCACATTTACCAAGAAATGAAGAATAATAAGAATAGACTCACCCATAGCAGTCCAAGCAAGTCCCATAACAACTCCGGGTGGCGTGATGTTGTACATGCGATCGCGTTTGAAGGTCGGCTTGCCAACCAGCTCGCTCAGGTTCGCTTCCGTCACTTTCAGGGATTCTGTCTCTTCTTTCACTATCTTATACGCTACTTTCCTTGCTATCTGTTGGATCATAGACAAAGTACAGTATTAAAAATAGATACAGAGAGGTATGTAGGTAAAGGGCAGTAGGGAACACGGGTGATGTATTTAAATAATTATTAAAATCTATGACCGTCTCTAATCGAGACAAGTGAATTTATTTCTGCAAATAGGCTACAAAGCAGTACTTTAAACGTCATTTTTTTAAGTGAAAGATGAGGTCGACATTTCCTAACTGACTACTCTGAGAAGAAATGCGGAAACAAACTCAAAGGTTCATCTCTTTTGAAACTGAACTGAGAGAATCGCCGAAACAAACTTTAAATTCATGATGTATTATTAATAAAAAGTTTAAAAAGTGTCAACATTAAGATTATTTAACATCCATTCAAGACATCCAAAGACACAAAACCTTTAAAGAAATAAATATAAAAGGACTGCCTCGTTGGCCGAGTGGTTGCAAGTGCGAATGCCGGTCAAGGGTTCTCGGGTTCGATTCCCGGGTCGGGCGAAGTACTACTGGGTTTTTATAAATTCTCAGTAGTAGCAAGGAGTCTGGAATTGTGCCCGGTATATGGCAATAGGCCCCCCTGGAATTGTGCCCCCTATTACATGGGACTCATAACATAAATAGTGAAAAGTGGGTGTTACATTGTACAGTGGCATAATGTACACCTCTGCCTACCCCTTCGGAGATAAAAGGCGTGATGTTATGTATAAACTTTACAAAATATCCATCCAGGAAAACCACTGTGTCTACCCACAGAGACACAAAGAGACCGCGTTCGGTACTCTGATTGGTTGGCTCTTTGGAGACGGCCAATCAGAACGTCGAACGCGTACTCGTTTCGATTACTCTAAGCTCAAACTCGTACAAAGATACGATACCCACAACATTACAGGTGTCACAAATATGTTCATTGTTGTTAGTGGGACTTCTGTATACCTTCAACATTTGTTCGCAATGTTTGTTTGTCATCAATCAAACATCCTTACTAATATTATAAATCGGAAAGTGAGTTTGTTTGTTTGTTCCGCTTTCACGCCGTAACTACTAAACCGATTGCTTTGAATTTTTACAGACGTAAAGTTAGAAGTCCGGATTAAATAATAGAGTACTTTTTATCCCGGAAAAATGTGATATTCCCGAGGGAAAACAAATGTATTGGTATAGATGGCGCTGTGTGTATTGGTATATGTCACATAGGCTACTTTTTATCCTTTTGTGATGCGAGCGAAGCCGCGGGTAAAAGCTAGTAAGACATAAGCAGTACCTTCTCGATATGTTTCTGCAGGTTCCGTACGCCGCTCTCCCTGCAGTAGGAGCGGATGAGCGCGTGCAGGGCGTCGGGCGTCAGGTCCAGCTGGCTGTCGGCCAGCCCGCAGTTCTTGCGCGCCGTCGGGACCAGGTACTGCTGGGCTATTGCTAGCTTCTCTTCTGCTACGTAACCTGGGTATCAAATTCGTAATGATATTCGTAATTGTTTGTAGAAAACTTTACTCAAGTAACTACTACTACTATAAAAAACTGTTGAAAGCTAATCCTCCATTAAGGTCGGTCGCCGTTGACCGACAATTCAATGTTTTACGCAATTTTTCTAGATTATCTTAACTAGACGAGAAAATATCTTTTTAATTAAGTTATGCAATTAACCTATAGAGCAATGTTTAGTTAGATGTAATATTAATAATAATAAGTCATCTTCAAAATTTATATGTAATTTCAAACTCACCGGACATATCAATAAGTTCCATCCTGTCTCGGAGTGGTTCAGGGATATGTTCCACCACATTGGCAGTACAGATGAACAGCACCTTGGACAGGTCCACCGGCACGTCCAGGTAGTGGTCCAGGAAGTTTGCGTTCTGTTCCGGGTCCAAGAGTTCTAGTAGAGCTGATGATGGGTCGCCGTGGACACCCCTAAAATTGACAATTTCGCTTGTTTCATTTAAATTTTCTAACTAAAATACTTTTACTGCTCTGTGAAGAAATAACTGTTGATATTACCTTATCTAAATACGTCTACCGTCTCCGTACCTTATCGATATAGGAAAACGCATAACATAATATCACGCCTTATATCCCTGAAGGTGTAGGCAGAGGCACATTACGGTACTTAATGCCGCTGTACAATGTAACACCCACTTTTCATCATTTGTGTTATGAGTCCCATGTAATAGGGGGTGAGCCTATTGCCAAATTGCCATATACCAGGCACATTTGCAGACTACGTGCTACGACTGAGAATTTTAAAAAAACCCAGAAATACTTTGCCCGACTCGGAAATCGAACCCGAGAAATCTTGCCCGGCAGTCGCACTTGCGACTGCTTGGCCAATGAAGCAGTCAAGAAAAGAAAAACGCACTTTACATAAAATAGTGAACAGCTTAAAACATCTAAATAAGAAATGACGTCTAGTGATTGTATAAAATAGGGCCTTGCGCTACACAAGCGCCATATGGCGAGTACAAAAATCTTAGCCTTCATTCCAGAACCGTCTACTTACTTGCCAATTTTGTCCACCTCATCAATAAGCACCAACGGGTTTTCAGTTCCAGTTTTCTTCAAGCACTGCACCAGTTTACCGGGCATAGCTCCCACGTACGTCCGTCTGTGTCCTTTGATCTCCGCAACGTCTGTCATACCTCCCACTGAGAATCTGAAGTACTGTCGGTTCAGGGCCCGAGCGATGGAACGAGCTGAAATATAACTTATGTTTAGGACATGAAGATTGAATTTTGTTTGTTTTGGAGTTAAAAGAAGATTAGGGTAGATGCCTAATTTTTATTTAAATGTCCGTCTGGTATATTATTTTAAATCATTACACACGTATTTTTTATTTTCTAACAGAAACGAATACTTCCGACGATATATTGATTTGAAATGTCGCGTGACGTCACTTCTATGTACATTTTATACGTAGAAATGACGTTTTAACCCTCACTCCTAAACTTTGATTCGTTTTATCTAAGTATTGTTTTATTATACGACAAAATAAAAAATAATACGTGTCTAATATTTTTTAATTACCTAACTTACGGACTAATTAGATTTTTAATTTTCATACCCTGTCATCATCCCATTTGAATGGTCAAAGTTGCCATAATTTGGTCTATCTAGCAACTGCTAAACTAAAACTCTTAGTATTAAACGGTCAACTGAATAAATCTTTCATAAAGAAAAATATTCACTTACCTATACTAGTTTTACCAACACCAGGTGGTCCATGGAAGCACAATATCTTGCCCTGGGTAGAGCCCTTCAGTTGCGACACAGCTATGAACTCCAATATCCGTTTCTTTATATCCTCCATGCCGTAGTGGTCTTCATCGAGTATCACTTGAGCGTCTTTGAGCTTGAGATTCTCTTCTGACGTCACTCCCCAGGGTAGGGAGGTCAGCCAGTCTAGGTAGCAGCGGGTGACACTGGAATATGAAGTAAGTAATTAAGAGTTTACTGCGCAACGCACGTCATATTGTTTGTGTCCAACGATGACTATGAGTGCTGGCACGGCTTGATTAACACAACGAGTTATCTCGTCCAACAGAGGGCTTAGTACGATTTTGTTTTACGTTTTACGCAACCGAAACGTTATGGTGTTTGACGCTCTGATTGGCCGGCTCTAATGAACTTAACCAAGTCAAGTGTGGGAGAGCCATACTTCTGCACGAATGGGCCGGCTCGACCGGAGTGATACCTCGGCCGAGCAAAAAACTGACGTGAAACGCTTGCGTTGTTTAAGTGAGGTTACCGAGGCCCCATTACCCCCCTCTCCAGTCTCCCCAATCCCCAAATCCCCCACAATCCTCAAATTCGCAAAAGCCCGGTAACGCACTTGTAACGCCTCTGGTGTTCCAGGTGGTCGTGGACGACGCCGATTGCTTACCGTCAGGTGATCCGTCTGCTCGTTTACCGACTTATCCCATCTCCATCCCTGTTAAATATGTAGTTCCTTAGCCGGCTTTGAGGACACCCGCAGAAAAAGGAGGCGAGTGAAAAATATATTCTACTTTGCTGTCACTGTACTGTACGACATGTAACAGTCTATTTATGACATATCTTTATATACATATATAATTCTTCTGTGAGTGTGTATGTCACTGAACTTCTCTCAAACGACTGGACCGATTTTGATATAATTTTTTGTGTGTGTTCAAGGGGATCTGGGAATGGTTTAGATTCACAAATCAGCCCGGCAGATGGCGCTGCAGTCGATGTTTAGGTTATTTATCCTATACAGCTGAACTAATTTGAATGAATTTTTGTTTATACATTCAAGTGGATATGCAGGACAACGTCTGTTGGGTCCGCTAGTGTACTATAAAAATAAAATGAAATCTAAGTTTAGTTAGATGATGCCTTATATTGAAGTGTGTATATAAAGAATGAAATATAATAAATGTTGAGTACTCCTACATCTATGAATATCTTTATTCTAATACAGAATTATGTGAATTAGAACTATCGATTATGTATTATGTGAATGGACTATAGCTTAGCTTGTACCACCGGCGTCGGCCACGTTCCGCGGGATAACAGTAGCCTGTATGTTAATTCTGACCATTCCCCAATTCCAAATTATCGATTCCAAACATCCCTCCTTCAGCGATTTTGCCGTGAAGGAGCAGGAGTAACAAAGAACCATACAAACTGTGTATTTATAATATTTAGTTGCGCAAATTATTTCCAACTTACTTGAACTCAGAGCTATGGCTTTCCAAGAAGTTCAACTTGTTGAGTTCTTCATCAATGACAGTCTGTACTGCCTGCGGTACTTTCTTCTCAGCGAGGCGCTCCTTGAACTTGTCTCCTATAGCATCCTTGTCGTCCTTCTCTAGGCCTAACTCCTTTTTTATTACCTGTCAGACAAATGAAGATTGTTTTAGTTAAAAAACTTTATGTTTTGTACACAGTTAAATAGTACAAACTTTTTTGATTTTATCTAGAGACCAGCGACCCAGCCGGCCCGGCTTCGCACGAGTGCAATATACATGTATTATACATATAAACCTTCCTTAAGAATCACTCTATCTATTTAAAAAACCGCATCAAAATCCGTTGCGTAGTTTTAAAGATCTAAGCATACATAGGGACAGACAGACGGAGGATAGCTACTTGTTTTACTATATAGTGATCAACTTATCAAAATCCCTGAGGTTATCAGTGCATAAAAACGTAGTACAAAATTGTATCGACATAGGACCAATCTTGCTGTTTCTAGAGTCTACTTACTGTCTGTCTGTTATTCTATGTCTGATAATTTAGTTAAAATTGTAGCGAGCAACACCAATTGGATTTGAAAGAAAAATAGCATAATGACAAATATGTATCTTCTGTAAGACGAAATAGATTACCAACCTTAAGCTGTTCATGTAAGATATACTTTCGATGTTGTTGTTTAACTTTCTCCTCGACTTCCTTGCCAATCTTTTGTTGCAGTTTCGATAATTCAAACTCCTTCTTTAGAAGCGAGAGGGACATCATCAACCTCTTTGGTATCTGTTGGAGAAAGTATTTGTTTAGTTTATTTTTTTATATAAACATTGCACAAGTAATCATAAATTTTTCACCAGTTGGGTTTATTATAAGATTCTAACTATTACAAAACAAAAACGAATAATGGTAACACATTTTTAAAATTTATTTTGCGTAATATTATTTCAGTGAATTGACAAAATATCTGTGGATACATATTGCATAACATACAATAAAATTATGCAAATTTCATATAATCGAAACATAAGTTTTATGTAAATTCCAACTTATGTCAACAATGACCTCACACTTTCTTAACCTCATGATTTAACACATCACCTTCAGTGATAAACCACCAGAATAACTGTTTTTTTGATCCATATCCGTTCTGGATGGAATTTACCTTCTTTAGAAGTCACGTTTAGACCCTTGCACATTCCATGGAGAAGGGAACATTTCTTGTGTACTTACATCCATTTCTTCCAGAACAGCCTGTAGCTCTGCTGGCTCCGCCCCAGTGAGTGCGGCGCCCAGGTCCGACAGGTACACCGGGTTGTCCACTACGCGCTGGCCTTGCGCTAACATGTGGTGCAAGGATTCCCTGAAAGAAAGATTGTTTGTAAATAGACTAATTTTATTCCACTAAGAGTTTTAACATTTTGCATTATTTTCGAGATTTTTTACATTAAACTCAGGAAGCAGTTGGCCTGTATAGCAAAAATTAATTGCAACCTCCATTAAAAAAATGCAGATTAGATTAAAGATGGGCATAAACCTCACCTGTACAAAGGATTCAAGTTGATGATATCTCTAATGGTCTTAATGACCTCCTGGGTCAAGGCCTTCACCTCCTCAGTCTGCTGGAACTTCTCATGCATCAAGTTCTCCACTTTGACCATCATAACTTGATCTGGAGCAGGTTTCTTTGAGTCCTTCGGTTCATCCTTTGGAGCATCTTCAGCTTCCGGTGTTGCTGTTGCTGCTGCCGGCTCCTTGGAGACCTGCTTCCTCGTGTTCCGATACTTGCGCCGGCGCCGTTCCGCATCAGATTCTTCGCGGGCAACGTTAAGCTCCACGTTAAATAGCGGAAATTTCAGCTTCATTTCTGAAATGTTCAAACCATTTCAGAAATGAAGCTGACAGAATGAGATGACATTTGATGAAAATTTTGACACAAAACAATGAAACAATAAATTTAGAAGCCAAATACCCATGCTGTAAACCCTTGAATTAGAGGTTTCACTCACCAGCAGGCCCACTTTCGATCTCATCTTCGATGAACTGTCCAGTAATCTTAATTCGTCTGTGAGCCATCACCACTAATCTTAATTTATAGTCCATATCTTGCATCTCATGGATCTGTGCGAACACACCCACTTGATGCAAGTCATCCAAGTTGGAGACAACATCGGACTTCTCATCTTCTTTCTTACGTAAAAATATACCAACATAAGGCTGGTTCAGTTTTACTTTACGTCTTATTAAGTCTATTAAAGCTGGGTTTGATATCTGTAAATGCAAATTGGAAATAAGTTTTTAGACATAATGTATACAGAATGTATAAACTGTAAAACATTAGTAAAAAATAAGTTTTGCATTATCATGGAAGTATCTGCAAACTCATAACAATGAACAATTATTTATCTTATCTACTTATTCATGACTGAAAAAGAAGGCATAATAATATTTGCTGATTGTACACCATCATAAAATTCATGATCATAGTTTCTGATGAAACTTATTAGACTGGAATGAGAATCTAATAAATACAAATTTATCTATTTCATGAATTATTGACTATTAACATAGTGCCTGCTATTTCAGATTTAAAATAATGGTATAATATATTATAGTCACAAATGAGTAAGGTGGAAAACAGTAAGTTAAGTCAACATTCTTACAAGAATCTAGGATAAATGCTAACTAACCTCAATAAGTTTAATAAAACGCGGGAAGACGGGATTCCTGTTGATGGCGATGACGGGCACTTGTGGCCACACTTCGGGCACGGCCACGGTCGCCGGGAGCTGACTGCTGAACAGCGGCGTCTCATCTTTAGACTCGGGATCCTCATCAGGGGGGTCACTCTTATTGGTTGAAAAATACCTCCCGAATCCCACTTGTTTACTCGAACTCAAAAAGGTACTGTTATAACTACATATCCGCGCACCCCTAGCACCAGCTACCCCAGAGTAACACAACCTTTGCACCGGTTTACCGTGTGATGCAACTTTTGTTACACTACGAACCACAGTCGACTTCAACTTCGGGTTGAGGAAACTGTTCCTTATTAAACTACTAGCAGTATGCATTTTTATAGTCCTAAAACAGATCTAGATGTTTTTTAAGCCGTGTTCCATTTAAATCTTATTTAATCCGGCAGATGAGTAGGTTATTTTTCCAGATTCTTCAAGAATCGAGATTAAGATTGAACTGTCAGAAGTCTGCTAGTAGCACTTTTGACATTGACATTACGACGTTGACTTTTTTTATTCCTTCTAGAGTTGACGAGTTGATGTCGAGGCAGATCCCGATCCCGTCTTCATTTTGTGCAATATTGACTTTGACAAGTTTACAGAACTGACAGTGACACTGACTTTATCATATGAGCAACATGCTGCGTGATGGTGATGTCGAATCTGCTGGTATTTTGCAAAAACTGAGCTATTTGACTCAAACTAATTTAACTAAGCTTTATGAATGCAGCAAGATATTGTAGAGTAGCTACGACCCTTGTCCAGGTTTGTAATTCAATAACAAACAACTTTGAAAACTATATTTCCATCCTGTAAAAGTTAATTTACCCTAGCAAAAGTTTGTAAACATAACCTTATTTTTTCTGATATAACTTAGAAAATTATGAAAATGGATGCTTCGACTGCAACGAAATCCATAAAGGAAGGTAAGGCCGAGATATTCCTTACAACGGAGAAGGTATTTTATAACCCTGTCCAAGAATTTAACCGAGATTTAAGTATAGCAGTGTTGACAATATTTACAAATGAATACAAAGCTGAACAAATAGCTAAAGCGGAGAAAAGAGGTAAAAATAAGCCACAAAACCCTACCGACGAAGGAAGAGAAACTGACACTAATAATGAGGTTAGTATTTTATGTATATTTTATTAGAAAAACACTTAAAAAACTTTCTTACATGAATCATATTACGTAAGAAATATTTACTATTTAATTACTTTACAGGTAGACATTTCAATATTAGAAGCATTGTCCGCAACAGGTTTACGGAGTATCCGATATGCTAAGGAAGTACCAAACGTGACTAAGATAGTTGCCAATGACCTGTCCAAGCAGGCCGTGGAGACAATACAGGCCAATATTGTGCACAACCAAGTTGAAAATCTTATTGAAACCAGCCATGATGATGCATGGTAAGAGTTATTAATACGTTGATATAATCATATATAAAATCCCTAATATTTGTTCATACAAAAGTAGTCTCTAAATATTAGAAATAAGGTCTATAGTGCAGTTAGTGGAGAGCGGTCACCAGTGACTGCTTGGGGAAAGAACAGTAAAAAAAATTGGTCGTGAAAGATTTTCATGTAATTCTTTAGTAACAGAGACTGACTAGTTAAAATTTTTAGTTTATAAATAATTTTTTTTTTGTATTATAGACTCCATAGTCAGTGTATAAGCAGTATAAGCGACAAGATGCTGTCTATAATATTATATGATTTAATTTTCTTCGTATAATTTCAGTATGGTGATGTACAAACACAAGCATCCAATGAAACGTTTTGCGGCAATAGACCTGGACCCCTATGGTTGTCCCTCGGTGTTCTTGGACTCTGCAGTCCAGAGTGTGCAGGATGGAGGCCTCTTGTTAATAACTGCTACGGACATGGCGGTCTTGGCTGGAAATGCACCGGAAACTTGTTACTCAAAATATGGTGCTATCAGTTTGAAAACTAAATGCTGCCATGAAGTGGTAAGTTAATGATATTTATTTTATTCAAATGGACTTGATCAATTACTGTATTATGCTATTGTTTCGTATTCATTACTCTGTTTAAACATAGTAGCTTTACTTTTAATTTTATTGTTGACGTTCAAAAGTGCCTTTCTGGTCTAATTGAAATAAATTATTTTGACTTTTGATTTTTTTTTTTTACATATTTAGTTACTGCTAATTAACTTAGTGTAACGCTTTTTGTAACAATACTCAAAGAAGAGGTTTTAATAGTGTTTACATTATCCCCAGGCTCTAAGAATAATGCTCCAATGCATAGAATCGCATGCAAACCGCTACAGTCGGTACATAGTACCGCTGCTCAGCATATCTGCTGACTTCTACATCAGAGTGTTTGTAAAGGTCTACACTGGTGCTATTCATTGTAAGAAGACCACAAGGTAAGTTTACACGGACCACTCAAATAATATCTATATGTGTAAAGAAATTTAAGTATATTTGTTCGATTTTTCTAATATTAGTAGAGAAATGTTTGTGATTTACAACATTCATATCCTAAAGATTATCGTCCCTCCGGTGCTATAACGTCACTTATGTATAGCAGGGGCCCGCGCGCAACTGCACAATGAAACGTTGTTTCTCCCAGTGCCATCCAGATTAGCGCCAAAACCGTAACGACAGCAATGCCCTCACGAAGACAGTTTGGCGTACTACTACACGTTTGGAGTATTCTTTCATAATTAGTTAACTTTTGACAAAAATTGCATAAGTGACGATATTGCACCGTAGGTGCGATATTTAAAAAAATAAATATATGTAAAACTGAACTCCCATAGAAAGTATTTTCCCTTCATGTTAAAATGTTGTTATTCACGCTATTAATAAAAGCATCTCGATATGATTATAGTTCAAAATTATTTTATTTCTTACTTCTGTAATTTTCCAGTAAGTTGTCAATGGCCTACCATTGTACTGGTTGCGACAATATTACTCTTCAACCATTGGGCGGGTTCAAACCCAATCCGACTGAGAAGAACCCAACACAGACTAAAGCCTACCTGCCGGCAGCGCCACCTGTCGGCGAGTTCTGTTCTAATTGCAATCAGAGACATCATGTAAGTAAAACCATATAAAAATTTCTATATAGGCCTGATACAGAACACTACCTTTCAATGGTTTTTAATCCTAATGACGGTCAATCAAAAAAACCTAATTCTACATTGACATGTTTAAACTATATTCTCATAATTCACCATTTTTTAATTGTTCAGCTTGGCGGCCCTCTCTGGTCTGCACCAATCCACGATGAAGCTTTCGTAACTAAAGTGTTGAACCACGTGGAAAATAACCCTGATCTCTTCGGCACTGCCAAGCGGATAGCTGGAATATTGGCCATGGTCAGAGAAGAACTGCTGGACATACCTCTGTACCATTCTATGGATAGACTTTGCGGGAGAGTCCATTTGGAGACCATGCCTATGTTGATTATGAGGTTGGTATAGATTTTGTATTATATCCTATGGCCAATATAGCAGGCCACACTGCTGCAATGTTTTTTAATATGCATTGTATTGGAATATAAATCTAGTTACCCATCTTTAAATACAGCCAAGTACAAAAAATTACTTAGAGACTGATTATAACTAGCCTGCCATATTTTCCAGATCAGCATTACTAAACGCCGGGTACAAGGTGTCATACTCCCACGCATCTCGCATGTCTATAAAGACGCGTGCGCCGGCGCATGTTGTTTGGGACATTATCCGCACTTGGGCACAGACACATCCTGTCAAACCTGCTAAGTATGTTATCTCTGTTTCTATTTCTTTTCCGTCTTTTAATTCTCATTTCTAATTTTGCATGCCAATGTTCAGCAGTGAATATTTTGTGGTTAAAAAGATGAAGACATTTTTATTCGCTTGCAAAATTAATTTTCTTTTAATACACCTATTTTAAAGCAATTCAATAAATAATTTTATTTCGAATCCAGATATTGTCCAAACTTACGCTTGCACAATTAAATGTTTCATTAAAATTATTCAGATTGGAAGCTGACCCGGTAGCGCGGTTTATTCTGGCGCAAGAAATTAAGACACCGGTTGACCTGAGCGAACGAGGCGATGCTAATCCCATCAGCCGACGCGACGGAAGACTGAGGTTCCAGTACAACCCTACTCCACATTGGGGACCAGGCTCCAGAGCTGCTGTCAAGTCAGTATATACCTTTTTTTTTCAGATTATTTCTCACACCTGTCTCTGTCTATGTAGAAGATAGGTATCTTCACTATTGTATTAAAGTATTGTTTCCTGTTTTGTTGCAGTGTGGGAGAAGAGAAAATGTCTAAAGCAATCAGAAATCAAAATAAGTACAGTAAGGACAAGGATAAGAAAAATCTTAAACGACCACATTCACCAAGTGACGATGAAGAAATAAAAAATGTTAATGCAAGTGCTGAAACTGCTTTGTAAAGATATTATATTTAACTTTGTTATCAATTTTGACTTTAATTTAAATCCCTTGTCATTTCCCTGAAAGCTGTTTTTGAATCTGAATTGCCCAGTTAAGCTGTAGTAACAACATCATGAAATATTTTTTTAAAGTAGATTAAATAAATAAAATTTTAAATCAGCAACATGCATTTTGCAAGTTGCATCCTTGGTTGCTACCTAAGACTACAATACTATATCTGAGAGTTGCTACTGAAGTACTGAACAAAAAGTCAGCTAAACGGTAAGTCCGCCCTCGAATAAGAAGTGTTTTTTTCATACAAAATCGTTTAGCGTCTCATTGTTGCTGCTCGTTATGCTTGTGGTCAGTGGTCATTTAAAAGTTAAAAGAGTCGCCAAGCCAACTGCAAAAGAGTAAAACTTAACTAAAAACAATCATTTTGAGTGCATCCGCTATGCTGTCAGCTTTAATGACAGTAACGCATTTCTAAACGAACATGACAATTGTCAAATGATATACGACCAAATTGAAAAGAAACCAGTTGACAGTAATTGTATGAATTTCATTGAGAATTCTGTGAGAGCATATGACACTGCGCTTCCAAAACATATCATCGACATTGGTTGGATTATAGTATGACGCAAATGCGAGCGAGGTGATCGCATGAAACTTGCGAAGAGAAAGCTATAAATTATTTAATTGATATTACTTATCGCTTTGGGAATAATTGTCGACGTCGTAGCGAGTACACGTGCCGATGTCATTATCATTTGTTTATTGTTCAGTGACACCAAGACTCTGATATATTAACAACAATATTATTGATTGTTTTGTGTGAAAAACTACGTTTCCTGCAACGATAACAATGCATTTACAGACTTTACTAATTGTTTTTGTTTTATCTTTTGCGTGTGGGCAAGACAGACGGGTAAGTTTCCAAACAATTTCCTTTACGTGAAGTAGAATATTAAAAATGTAAGGTGGTATGGTATCTTTATACACCCCCTTTTTTATTTTGGCTTATCTCTTTGTTTAGAAGGCGAAGGTCATTATTGTTAGATTATTGTTATTATCATTTATATGTTACATATCCCTAACACATAATTATATTATTACTATTTATGTGGCTAGACATAATATTTTTTTAATCATAACAGATGCTATGTGTCATCCGTTTTATTTTATATTCAGCCTTGCTCTGGGCAAAGGTGTCATGCTACACATCCTCCCACTAAATGTAATAATCTAATGTTTATGTTATTGAACATGATAATATTATGAACATAATATTTGTGTAACCTACTTTATAAGAATAACTATTAGAATTTTATTGGACAGCTGTATTTCAATTTCTAAGTTATTGGTAAGGAAAATGTGAGCAATTTCATTGCCACAACTAACAACTATAATTAACTAGAAATGACTAATAATCCACATTTCATAGTAATGACCTTCCATTCCTCAGGATAGGCACATAAATAACATAATCAAGAAAAAAATTATTACTTTACACTTTACTCACACTAAAACCTTAAATTTTCCACAGATAATACCAAAATTGAATCCTGGTTGTGACAACTGTGGAAAATCAACAACCCTCCTTTATATCAGAGCAGATGGCAGCCAGGATACTGTCCACCAGCTATGGGACTTTACACGAGGAATGCCCACCATCATCTACGTCATTTCAAAGCTCAATACATCACTGACGATAAACTGGAGATTCAATGAGCCAATGGAATTTAAACTCTCAGAGAAACCGCTGTACAGCTTTGCTGTTTCTATTGATAAGGTAATTCTAATTACTATTTACTAGATTTATATAGTAATGCTTGCGTATGACAGTGGGACTGATAACATTAACAGCCAAAAAGGTATGTAGGGCATATACCTCTCGGCCAGTGGCGTGCAGTCCATACAGGCGAAAAGGCTTTGCCTGACTTATAAATATCGTGAATATATAAAATACATAAAATGTACAAACGCGTTTATTAAGATTCAATAATATAATAAAAGTTTGTAATATACATAATACATTCACATATATACTATACACGGACCGCACGCCTTTGTAAAGCAATGAATGCGCCCCGTACGCACCACGCATGCGCAGCTATTCCTTAAATCTTGGTTGCCAGTCGTGACGTCACAAAAGTAATGTACTAAAAGTATGCACCGCGCATGCGTGAAGATCACGACCATAGTCACGTGACAGAATAACCATTCATAATTATATTACACGATTCCTTTTGATTGACAAAATTTTGGCAACTAAAAAATTAGAGGATCGTTCGTTCATTACTTGGAACGATCGTATTTTATTAAGAATTCTAAAACAATAAAACAGCAACAAGTTATTGTATTTATAAAAACAATTAAATCTTAAAAGGTTTTAAATTGATACAATCTGTATATCGTAAAGTACTGATGAATGGAGTACACCAGCGCCATCTATTGAATTTTTTGTTGAAACTTCTGAACTCGTTCGATATAATGCGAATGTATTTTTATAAATGCGTATTTAACAAATATGTTTCAAGTGTTTTAATTAAAGCTTAACATTTTTACGCTTTTTCGGTTTATAGAAATTTTAATCGAGGAGTTGACTTTATTATTATAAAAGTTAAAAGGAAGTTATTGAAACGTCAAGATGGCGCCATTTACAAGGTTTCAAATTATATGAATGAATGTTTTTTAGTATGAAATATTGGTTTAAGACGATGATGCAATTTCATTTGACTTACTAAATTAACCTTTGTTTTTTTTTAAATTAAACACTGCATTACCTTAATTTTTAAGCTACATTTTTTTATAATAAACACTCAATTGACTATTGGTAATGACTTCAATTCATTTCCAATGTTTTCGGCCATATTGTTTTCATGTGATGTGCGATCGCTTTGTTTATGTTTTCGTTTAAATTATTAGGAATTAGTTTTAAACATAAAGTTGCGAAATATGTGTAGTAGTAGTTAAATATATGTGTAGGTTTTTCAAATAGTGTATTTGTTAATCAGTTTCTAGTACAAGTACCTATATTATTCGATTGTGAAGTTCGTGTGGATAATAGGTAATTTTATGTGTTTGTTGAAAGTAAAAACAGTAAGATTTCGCAAGAAAATGTCCTTTATCGGACTAGATTCCGGTAATGACCATTGGCAGAGGTGTACTCGAGTTACGAGAATTGACTATTGACCCAAGTAAAAGGTAGGTAATGTAAATATGTACTATATAATGGATCTTTTATTTGATTTTCTTGTTTATTGTTTGATAATTCTTAAAAATATCAACTTAGACTTCGGGTTGTACTGATTTACATATTAATTTATTATTAATAACTATGTAATGTAATAAACTAAAAACCGCATAGACTCGGCTCGGCCACAGCCGGCCGCGCTTGTTATTGTTTTGTTTGTTGACATAATGTAGGTACCTACGCTCTTAAATTCGGAATATGTATATTATGATTTTGAACAGATTGATTAAACTTAACAATTCCATAATGTAATTTGGTTCATCAAATTTATGCTTCATTATTAAAATAAATAATAGATCCTTCATTATTTGTAAGTTTTGTTGGCTTATTCAATAGCTGATGAAGTACTTCACAAAAAATACGCGAGATGTCAGTGTATGTAATTTGGCGAAAGAATAAAGCACAATATTCTTGAACGCACTTTTCGAAATGTATTTGTACATGTACCTGTCTTGTGTGAGCATGATTGTATGACCGGGCGGGGGGGGGGGGGTTAATCATACGATATTTATATAGTTGCCTACCCTGTCTCGAAAACCTGTGCACGCCACTGCTCTCGGCGTACCAATTTGAAGTTACTAGTACCTAAAAATTAAACTTTTATTAAATACAACTTTCTTAAATGTTTAGGAACAAAAACTTAAATTAAAAAAATAATAGGTAAGTATTAAGTTAGTAAGAGTAATTTAATTTTTTAATAAAAACTTGCCGAATTATCTCCTAAACAAATAATATTGATGACAGATGTTTTGACTTGGGCAAAATGCTATTCATATTTTTCAATTGTTAAATTCTAAATAATAGCACAGAGTTTGGTATAGTGCATTGTGTTAGCGGCTTTCCTTTAACTTCCTCTTTTTAAATATACAATGACATAAATCGTAAATTATGATTACATCATAAAATATATATTGTACATACAAAGGTTGGATAACATAATTAGTTAATTATGAGTGTATTATTGGTTGATCACTACGAAAATTGCATAAAATAATGGTTCGCTTGTCTTTTATGCACTCAAATCATTTCATCAGATTCTGATAATACTTAAACGCGCCTTTTTTTTGAGGGGTGAAAGCCATTCAATGACATCTCCCGCCCGGGTGAGACGGGAGGGAGTGTCAGACTCTTAGTGACTAAAAACCACCCCGTTCCTACTCCTGCACTAGCTCTAATAGAAGGCCCTTAAACTAATACTTGTCGCCACGGCTGGCACGTTGGCTAGGCAACCGGCTGCTGCGTAACGTGGGGCGGGTTCGAATCCCGTACGGAACAGCTCTTTATGTGATCCACAGATAGTTGTTTCGGGTTTTGGTGTCATGAGTATGTCAACTTGTATGTTTGTAAACGCACCCACGACACAGGAGAGAATCCTAGTGGGGCAAAAAAAATATTTCCTGTTCCAATGTTTTTTTATAACTGTTTTCCTGATAACATTGTCAGAACGTAATTTTTCCTGGAATAATCTCTGGTTGATGCTTCCGTGGAAATCCCGCGATATACGATACTATATTAGTCACAAAATAAATATGTATTGGCCTACATAATATCTACATGGCCATGTAACATTATCCACGGAAATACACATTTAAGAGGGCAGCACATCAAGTTACTACAATCTATCAATCTTGTTCGACAATTTCGACCTTATTACTAATTACTAAAGTTGAAAATTTATTAACAGAATAGGGATAAGTTTGGTATAGGTACTCTGGCAAATCAAATTATTATCAATGTATGACGTCATAGGTACTGGTAAATCGACCCGCATCGTCCTACAATAACATGCATCTGCGTTAACTAGGCGCATGCGCATACGACGATTGCATTGTTATGTAATCAATGCATTTTGGCATTTTCTATTATACCTTCGTCAATTTGATGGTGGAGGGACTTTGTTATTGAGTTTATTTAATTCCTTAATTCGAGTATTGTACGGGAGGTCATGATTTCCGAATGACATAAAAATGTGGGTAGTATCGATTTTTGAAATTGGGTAGCTTCCAGGGTATGAAAATTAAAAATCTAATTAGTCCGTCAGTTGATAATTAAAAAATATTAGATCCGTATTTCTTTTATTTTGTCGTTTTACAAAACAGTACTTAGATAAAACGGAGTTAAGTTTAGGTGTGGGAGGTTTTTACGTCATAACGTGCTACAAAATATTTCAAATTAATATAGATATAATATCACGCCTTTTTAGCCCCGAAGGGGTAGGCAGAGGTGCACATTACTTAATGCCACAAATACGTATACAATATACAAATGTAACACCCACACACACATGCAATAGGTTAGGGGGTCAGCCTATTGCCATATACTGGGCACAATTCCGGACTCCGTATTACTACTGAGATTTTTTTAAACCAGTAATACCTTGCCGTCCTGGGAATCTAAACCGAGACCCCTTGCCCGGCAGTTGCATTTGCGACAAATCGGCCAACGAGGCAAAGAAAACAATGGCACTGTAAATACACCTTTATGTAGGAAAGTACGCAAACGTTGTTATTTAAGTGTCCAATTTCACTTTCAAAGACAATTTAGGCTAAGCTAAGCTAATGTTTGTTTAATTACTATTACTCATTACTTTGTTATGCTTTTGTTTCTTTGTCAGTTCCTGCCATTCATTTATAGTAAGCTGTACGCTACTATGCGCATTGTTGCGAAGTTTTCAAAATGATTCATTGAACTATTCTACATATCTATCACGAAGGACTTGATCGAGTTACTGCGTTCTGTCTTGCTGTAATTTAGCTACATTTTTAGTAAAATACTTTATACTTAGTTATAGAAGTTGAATCTTCCGGTGGCTGCATGCAATTGGGTATTTTTCTGGGTCAAAAATAAATTATTTTGATTTTTCAATCCAATTAAATATTCAAAAATATGCAATTACAATTTTATTCATATATTTGACGATATACTTAATTTTCGATTTATTCTAGCGCATTTTTTCTAAAAATAAGTATGATATTTGACTCGCAAATATGATGGCATCATAAGTTAGTTTTTGGTACAAAATTCATAGAACAATATCGTTTTTGACGTTTCGATAAAAGTATTGAATTTGATTAGTTAGTTAGTAGAGAATTTTTGCAGAATTAAGTTAGAAGTCCGGATTAAATAATAGGGTACTTTTTATCCTTGAAAAAATTGATATTCCCGAGGGAAAACAAAAGTATTGGTATAGATGGCGCTGTGTGTACTGGTATATGTCACATAGGCTACTTTTTATCTTTTTGAGGCGCGAGCGAAGCCGCGGGTAAAAGCTAGTTCTAAATAAAATAACATCAATAATATTACCATTGCAATTACTAAAACTACTCATCACAAGAATGCAAGGCATATTACTATCCAATATCGACCAAATATGTGCATTTGGTTCTAACAGCCGATAGTCTGAGTCATAGGTTGCGTCCCCATTCCGAACCAACACGACTAAGGACAATAGATAGCAGTTACTGATATAGTAAACACGACTTTATTGCGCAGAAACTAACGGTTAAATTATGTTGGACGTAGTTTTGAGGACGAGCATTGAAATTGTAAATATTAATTGATGGTTTAAAGTTTTAAGGTAATTTCGCTAGTTTATTTCTTTAAATATTATTAACTTAAATTTCTTTAAAATGACTGCCTCGTTGGCCGAGTGGTCGTAAGTGTGACTGCCGGGCAAAGGGTCTCTGGTTCAATTCCCGGGTCGGGCAAAGTATAACTGGGTTTTAAATATCCTCAGTAGTAGCACGGAGTCTGAAATTGTGCCCGGTATATGGCAATAGGCTCACCCCCTATTACATGGGACTCATAACTTAAATAGTGAATAGTGGGTGTTACATTGTACAGTGGTATAATGTGCACCTCTGCCTACCCCTTCGGGGATTAAAGGCGTGATGTTATGTTATGTATTTCTTTAAAGGAAGACATAGGTATTTATGGTTGTTTCCCTATGTGAACTCCAAAGATAATGCTGTTTTTAACTGACTAAAGCGTTCCAAAGATCTTTCTGTCTTCTTATTAGCCTGAGCAGCAAAGCTAAACTTGAGAACCTGGCTCCGACTTTCAAAGTATAATTAAACGCGTAATTTTATAATTTCTGCCCATTCATTTGTCGTATTCTTATTTTATTTCAGCCAAGAACAAACTCTGAACTGAAATGACCCAGATATCCACAACCGTGAAGGCAATTTCTTTGTAAATAATTGCATTTTATAATCTTACGTGGCATGTTTCACTCAGACGTCAATAACTTTAGCAAAGATGTCTTTTTTAGGGGGAAAATCATCCAAGTACTTCTCCCGGCCTGGGTTAGGGAGTGTCAGGCTCTTACTGACTAAAAACCACCCTGTTCCTACTCCTTCGAGTGAGCTCTCCGCGGCTCCGTGACGAGCATAGCCCGCAGTTGCATTGCAATTAAGTTATAATAAATTATTACATAGCAACACTCATCAATATAAGTCCGTGACAGAGTACTGCTGAGCGTCCTCTTTGCTCTGCATACATAGTATTTATTTTTAAAAGGGGTATGGCAGTAAGGCTGCTGACGATAGTTAGTTACCCAACTGCATCCTCTTAACCGCTTGAATGTCAGTATAAGTATTTCTTTATAATATCTTGAATAATTTCATTGACGCCCCTGAAATTTTGGAAGAAATTGCCTTAAGAGTACCTAGACCTTGTTCCCGTTCACAAAAACTTTTTTCAGTTGCTTTCTATAAAACAGTTTACACCACTAATAGCTTCTTCAGACGTAGCACAGACACTTATAATAGTAAATTTAACGAAATAGATATATTTAACCACAGTTTAATCTACTCTTAAAATAATGTAACCTATGTTTGACAGCATGTGCTTGTGTATTCTGTTTAAAATAAATTGTGGGTAGGTTACTTATGCTGCACTTAAAAATTGTATGGAACTCGAAGTCTTTTTGAACCTATTGTTTTCTTATATAAGTTTTGTTTTTTATGTGACTGTTTGTTTCCTAAATAAAATAAAATAAAAAAAACAATAAAATATGTGAGACACAATAGAAAACACATTGTGTCCCGCGTATATCTGCCCACCACGAGTTAATACGTTGATATATCGTATCCAAAATTTGTTCATACAGAAGTAGTCTCTAAAAACCGGAAATAAGGTCTATAATGAAGTGAGTGGAGAGCGGTTACCGGTAACCGATTGGGGATTGAACAGTTAAATGCAATAATCGCGTAAACGACCGCACTGTAAATAATTATACGGCTTCATTTAGCTTGCACAGTTTTCAGGATTCATGGTGACGCAATTTGTATCTATTTTCTGAAACATGGATTTGTTAGCAAGTCGTGGTGGCTCGGAGGTTTAAGGCTCCTGCTTCTCATGCATGAGGGTGCGAGTTCGAAACCTACCAACGGCAAGTACCAATGTGACTTTTTCCAAGTCATATGTACTTTCTAAGATTATTTAGACACCACTGACAAACTGTGAAGGAAAACATCTTGAGGAAACCTGGGCTTATAATTTCTAATTATAAGTTTGAAATCACCAACCTGCAATGAGCAATTGTGGTGATTGATGCTTAAACCTTCTCTGTGTAAGAAGAGGCTTTGCTCAGCAGTGGGCATTATAGGCTGTTGATGATGATGATGATTAATTTATTTACTGAATGAAACCAACTATAGATCATTATCCGATACGGAAGTTTTTACCTAACTAGATGTTTAAGAATAAGTCCTTTTTTTATCCGGGTGCCAAAAAAAAATATTCATATTTTTTTTTATGCCATAAGCCGGTAAACGAGCAGTCGGAGCACCTGATGGTTAGCAATCCGCGTCACACCAGTGATTCAAAAACTCTCTATTTAATTTAGAAGAGACCTCTCGACCGAGGAACATTTGTTAATATTATCTGTAAACTAAATTATTCTGTTTGAACAGTTGTTGATAAATTCTAATTACGTAGCAACCACTTACATGGTGATCGCCGAAGGAGCTGTGTGTAATTGTAATTTGTACTGAGTCATCATTACTAATCATTAGTAAATCGTGTAGTGTAACCAGTTCATATTATTCTGTTGTTGCCTATGGATAATATAATCTATTAGCCTCTGCCCGCGACTTTGTACGCGAAATCCCGTATTTTCCGTTTTCGTAGGATTTTTAGGAAATCCTTAGTTAAAAAGTATCCTATGTCCGTCTCCTGGTTCTAAGTACCTCCCCACCAATTTTCAGTCACATTGATGTAGCCTAACTAGAGTCTTTGAGTTATAAATAGTCTAACTAACAAGACTTTCTTTTATATATAGGTATAGATTAGTATAGGATAGGATTAATAGGATAACCTATTTTGCTATCTTTTTCTTGTTAAATGGAATATGGTGAAATCATAGTATAACGAAATATTAATTTTTACCTTTATATGTCTCATAACTGAACAGAAATAGTGTCTCTTTGATTGAGAGGTTAAAAGTGCGACTGCGGATTATAATCTCAGATTCGAAAACTCGTTTTCTATAACTCGCCTGAGAGCTTAGTACGAGTTTTTTTACGTTAAAAGTAATCGAAACGAGTAAGCGTTCTGCTCTCTGATTGGCCGGCTCCAATGAACCAACCAATCAGAGCGCCGAATGCAGTCTCGTTTCGATTACCTTTAACGTAAAACAAACGGGTACTAAGGCCTCTGGAATGGTGTCTAGCCCGTCCTCTTTCTCATAAACATTCGGAAATACTCTTCATTGAATAAAACATACATTATGTAACTTTATTTAATTTTTTTATTGTTCCAGCTAACTGAATACAATGACATCGAAAACAACGGGTACATAGACAACAGATGCCCACAGAGGGCGCTGTCACTGCGCGACATGGAGTGGACGCGTGGCAACACTGTGTTGGACAACACGGAGGCAATGGTGCATATGCGCGGGAAATTCGGGGAAGAGAATCAACATGGCGTTATTGATATGAAAGTAAGTTATTGTTTGGAGATAAGAATTGTCTGTATTATAACAATGTTGTAGGGATAACATTATTTTTGTTTTTATTTTATCTCTCATAATAAGTAAGTCAACATTTTCGGTGTACCTACTTACGTAGGTCGACGAGGTAACCCGACTAGTTTCAAGCCATAGTAGGGGCTAATAGTCATAAAAAGGAAGAGAGTCATTAAATGCAAGCTGCATTACGAAATAAACTTTGCAATAACATATCATATTTTATCACCAACAGCTCGACCTCCTGCCATTCAAAGATTATGCAGTAGACCTGCCACATCTGATCCACACAGCCAACTCCACTCTGGTAGACGTCAGCCTAGTAAACCTGACGTCATCACCTGACTACAACGCGTCCCGGTTTGCCCTGCATTTCACTATTGTGAGCACGGATGCGAATAACGAGAACATGAGCTACAGTATGAGGAAGAGCTTGGATGATGAACATACTCCCGGCGTTTTTGAGGTGAGTAGACAACTAGACATAATTCTCCTGGTAATCTTATTAGGTAATGCACTTGCCCCTAATGCCAGCGGCTTAGCCTGTGTTCTCGATATCAAAAGTAGCCTAACATATTACTTCAGAAAATCTATCTCTATGACAACAACACGCCTCTTATCCTCGAAGGGGCACATTTTTATTTTTCAACTGTGCCCCACACTATGCGTTTCTCCTGGGTCGTGGGTGTGTTTACAAACATTTAAGTTTGTATATGTTTGTAAACGCACCCTCGTCGTTCGTCGTACACATGGCACACAAACCCGGAACAACAATCTGTGGATCTCACGAAGATTTGTTCCGTGCGGTAATCGAACCCGCGATACGAATAAAAATAACGTTTCCGTGAAATAATTGCAGATAATTCATTGGCGAGAATTGGCAGTAGTTGTCTTTATTTGAACCGCGTATGATGCTTTTACTATAAAGGAACCTATGATGACCCTTTAAGTATGTACATAAATGTTTTAATCGTCATATATGCTTTTGTTTTCAGATATTTGAGATCAGGACCCCTAAGTCGAGCCGGTCGGATGACGGCGGCTTCATACAGTTCCGCCCCGTCAGCTACACGGAGCAGGAACGCAGCGTCTCGTCCTCTACCAACGCTTACATATCTAACTTTACCTGGTAAGAATTCAATCTTATTTCATTACTTATTTATTCACACACGCTCTGTACCAGTCTGTTTTTGTTCTTTTTGCTTCTGAGAATTTTGTTTGTCACTCTAAAATGTCCTTTTCTTTTGAGGCGGGAAAATCATCCAATGACTTCTCCCGCCCGGGTGAGGCGGTAGGGAGTGTCAGACTCTTACTGACTAAAAACCACCCCGTTCCTACTCCTGCACGTCGAGCCGGAGCCCCGGCAACCCGTTAAGTCCTCCGCGGCTCCGTATCGGCATCGGCCCTGTTAGGCCCCATCTGTGGTGGTCTGATGGCTCCTTGAGGCGCGCGCGGAACGCGACACGCCGGTCGGGTGGCGAGTCACCCGTGCTCGCCGTACGCAGGCCCGTCTCTAAAATGTCCTAAAGCGTGATTTTTAAAGGACGGCAACATATTGTAACTCCTTTGCTGTTGCAGATGTCATGTGCGGTGCTTATCGCCTACGATCAGGCGGATCGCATCCTGTTTACTTTCCCCCTATCCATACAAAAATGTATGTGATATTTTTGAGAATCTCCATAAGAACACAATTTAAAATACCCCATTTTTGCAGGACAACAATACCCAAAACGAGTACGTTGCGCATGTTCTACGAGGAGTTCGAAAAAGCCAACCTGTTGGTGCAGGACATGTTCATCTCCTTCGGGTTGCCCGGCGACGGCTTCTACAGGCAACATAACTACACTTCTTGGTAAGTTACGACTTGTTTTTATAATAACTATCGTGAGACATACTAAATTAAGTAAAAACGCGGGTTACTCACGTGAATATATTGAGAAAAGCTCTACTAGTTTCGAACCACAGAGGGGTTCTTCCTCATGAGCAGCGTGCGCGGTCGCGGCGACGTCGCGCAGCTCACTGGCTGGCGTTGGCGCTCGCTTCGGTGTTGCTACTTGCGCTGCGAGCCCAACGCGCCCTCTGTCGGACACTTCGAGCGTTTGCTTTCAACTCCGGCGGCGCGTTGGACGATGTCATGAGGACCTCTGTGGTTCGAAACTAGTAGAGCTTTTCTCAGTATATTCTCGTGAGTAACCCGCGTTTTTACTTAAGTTACGACTTAATTATTACTTTGTATTAAATGGTATGAAATATAGTATATAGTAGTATGAAAATATGTTTTTATAATAACTATCGTGAGACACGATGGATTAACTGAAAATGACTAACTACTCGCCGCGACCGCGCACGCTGCTAATAAAGAAGAGTCCCTCTGTGACACGAAACTAGTTGAGCTTTACTCAATATATTTACGTGAGGAAACTCGTCATTTTTAGTTAACTCAGTATGAAAGTAAATTCTTAGCCGTTTGCCTCATGTACAGTCAAAGTCGAAAGTGGACTTGCAATGTCACAAAACTATAACGTAACGATATAAGTTGTACTTATGACTTTCTTCTATAAGATATGTATGTGTTTCCCCGTATAACGGAGACGAATAAGGTCGATAATGGTCATTTCGGTGTAAGTGGACTTGCGACCTTTACTTTTTGTCCGCCCTATAGCATAAACCCACGTCTCGTCGCGGAGAACCTAATGGATAACCGGGGCTCCGGCTCAACGTGCAGGATAAAGAACGGGGTGGTTTTTAGTCAGTAAGAGTCTGACATTCCCTCCCGGGTCACCCAGGCAGGAGGAGACATTCGATGATTTTCCCCCCTTAAAAAAAAATAGCGCGGACGGACAAAAAGCTTTTTCTGAAACCTTTAATTTAATTAATTATTCCTCTCTCCAGGTCCTTCACGATAGGCTACGGGATCCCACCAGTAGAAAGCTTCTCCCTATTTGTGATCATCATCATATCCATCGGCCTTGGAGTGCCCATCCTCCTGGCACTGTCAGGCATCACGTTCGTCATAGTAAGAAGGTGTAAGCAGAGAAACCCACCAACAAGGTTTACTGATGATGAATAAGGTAATGAGAGATAAATAACCGTTTTCACCAACCACCCCTAAACAATCTCTTAACTAAGAGTTACTTAGCGTGACCTGTACTGTTAAGTGTCACTTATAAGTTGGTGATAATCAAAATGTCGTTGAAGTGTCATCTATCTTAGCTTAGGAGTTCCTTAAAATTTAAGAGGGGTTGGTGGAAACGGGCTGCAGTCAATTTGGTAATGGTATGGTTGGTTACAAAAGTTGAGAAATTAACGTTTTATAATTTTTTTTTACCTATTTGTTTAAATTATCCTCAATCGTTAAGTTTTTATAATAACTATCGTGAGACGTACTAAATTAACTTAAATTCGCGGGCTACTCACGTGAAAATACTGGGAAAAGCTCTACTAGTTTCGAACCACAGAGGGGTTCTTCCTCATTAGCAGCGTGCGAGGCTGCGAAACTAGTAGAGCTTTTCTCAGTATTCTCACGTGAATAACTCTTGATTTTTACTTAATTTAATCGTTAACATTTTGATAATTGATTTTGAATACAAACTTATATATATCGTTGATGTATACATGGCAGAGGCATATTAGAGAGAGGTGTGGATTGAAAGATGATGTAGTGACAAGGATTGAAAAGGGAATGTTACGCTGGTTTGGACATGTAGAAAGAATGGATGAAAGTAGAGTAACGAAAGAAGTATACAGAGCGGATATGAATGGAGCCGTCGGTAGAGGGCGCCCTAGACGGACATATAGTGACCAGATTGGCGATATATTAAAGAAGGGCCAAATTAAAAGTACCCTTAACCGACGAGCATGCATGAAAAGATTGATGACTGTTAATGAAGCGAAAGAGGTATGTAAGAATCGTAGTAATTGGCGTTCCTTAGTCTCTGCCTACCCCCATGGGAGACAGGCGTGAAGTTATGTATGTATGTATGTATATATCGTTGACAGTTTGTGTTTATTATCATGATACAGAATGTTAATACAATGTTTAGTTGTTTTACAAATTATATACAATTTTATTTTAATTTAATTCCGTCATCAAGTTTTGTAGGCAACTGTACTTTGATTACATTATGTTACATATCATGCATAATTGAGTAAATGTGTTGTATGACAAAATCAATCATACACAAAAATGTATGATATTCTCGGGTTATGTGTTAAAAAATGTAGTGAAGAAGAAATGTTAAACGTTTCTGTATGTTTGCTAGTAGAATCGGATTTTATTAGAGGTGAAAACAGCATTAAAACACAATTAACACATTGGATGCCGTGTCGGACAATGATGACCTACGCTAGCGGAGAATTAGCCTTTAATAGTCATTGTTAGCAGTTAAAAGCTTAATATATTAATCACCAAACGGCGCATAACTTCAAAACCGCTGCACCAAATTGGATAATTCTTTTTCTGTTTGTTGTATCCGTTATATATAGGACACCGATACTAATTCTTTTAAAGCATTGGTTATAAAAACAGATTTTAAAATAGGGTAGTTTCCAGAGTAAGAAAATTAAAAATCTAATTAGTCCGTTAGTTAGATAATGAAAAAATATTAGACACGTATTTTTTTATTTACTCTTGTAAACTTATAAAACTTAGATAAAATGGAGTTAAGTTTAGGAGTGGGAGGTAGTTACGTCATAACGTGCTACATTTTGTGCTACCAAATGTAGCACGTCACACGACATGTCAAATCAATATATCTTCGAAAGCATTTAATTATGTGTCTTATGATTTTAAATAATCTACCAGACGGACCTTAAAATAAAAATTATTAAACTACCCTATTCTACGATTGATTTCATTGTTGAAATTGTGTGTATGTTAGCACAATTACACAATTATAATGCTAAATGTCCAAATACTCAAATGCCAGTCAAAACTCGCGCTAGGTATCGTTCTGTCACCACAAATTCTTTGGAATATGACAGAGACGGCACGATATTTAAATATACATTGAAATTCAATAGCCTTTCAGTATTTGGACGTAACCTGTTTTGACCAGTCGAGGTCTTTGTTTAGACAATTTTAGCAAACATTAATTATTTTTATAGAAACTGTAGATAAAAATCAGTTATGTCATCGATAATGCCAAATCGAATATCGATATATCTATTCGGCCGATACTTAGTTCAATTTAATTGTATAATGGAATTAAACTAACAAACCAAACTATATTTAATATTTTTAATTTTTAATTCTTTATATTAAAACTTTCTTGACAAATATTAATTAATTGCTTTTTTCGGCTTACTCACGTAATTGTTTGACGAGGAACTCGACTAGTGTCAAGTGTCAAGCCATGCCATGCAGCGATAGTCGCCGCGTCGCGGGTTGCGGAATGCTGCTCATGAATATGAGCCTCTAGCATGGCCTGAAACTAGTCGAGTCCCTCGTCAAACAGTTACGAGAGTAAGCCGAAAACAAAATCATTAATTTAAATCCTTCATACAGCTTTTTGGAAATATCAAAAAGGAGAATGTTCACGTAACTATGGAATTTCGTCTTACGTTGTTGCACAATAAATCTTTATTTATTATAGACCATGCTTATTATATTATCGAATAAAAGCGTTCATTTTCCCATAAATATCCGGGTTTTTAAGTAATTAGACAAAAACGAAAATAACCTAAAATTATGTTTAAACTGTCAAACACCGTGCGGTTACCGGTGACCGCAACCTATTGTTCTTTAATTGTGTCTATAGATGATGACGGTACTCAACGAGTTGACTTCTCGCAACGTATAAAATAACCACAGATCTGACAGATCACTCATATAGGTACAACAATTAAAACACACAAGAAATAAAAATAAAACAAGTCACCAGCTTCTATTTGTAAAAAAAACAACAACTTCATTCAGATTGTTTATTAGGTTTAACTTATCTCAGGGCTATAAAACATAATTATGAACATTTCATGTAGGTAATCAATATTCAATGTAGAACAAGTACTTGTATTTTGGAGACTCGTTTGCCAAAGAAAAGAAAAAAAAGTACTTGTATTTTAGATGTCCTACATACATATATAACATGAAATAGAATTGTGTTAGGTATATAATACCTTAGTTATTCCTCATACTCCATGAAATAATCGTCTAAATACGAAGCTGGAGCAGTTATATCATTATAGCGCCCCCAGCTCAAAAACCAAACTATAGTCATTATATGAGCGCAACAGCCCACAGTTCTTTTTCCTACCAGACAGCTGCATGAGTAGCCGACAATCGCGTCTAATGTATTAGCCACAGCATCATCTTTGCTAATTAATAAGTAGGTAAAATAGGTGCGACTACTTATGTGTCTCGATTTAATCCTGCCTCTCAATAGATAGTTATTATATCCCAAAATCAGAGGTATATCATCCTCAATCACGTCATTTACTTCTACATGATACGTACCAGTCCGACGGACATGTTCCCCATAGTACGATCTGGCTTGTTTAAGTTGATAGGTACCCAGTGCAAATTGCTTTAAATCATTAATTGATAGTCGGGGAAACCTATTTAAATGTGGATTAATGTGATCAATCATTTGAAAATTCGTTCTCCTTCTATTCAGATTTTCTTGTTCTACATATATTGCTAAATGGTTTTCAAGCTCAAGCCTATTTTTTGCTATTCTAACATACTCTGCAGCCTCTGGTGGATCCTGTATGGATACATGGAACATGTTTGTTAGTGCACAACATATTCTAAAATCGTCCTTTAGATGCAAAGCAGCACGATTATTATATACATGTCGAAAGAGTCTAAAGTCCCTTTTAATTCTCCCATTAACGACTTCTACAACCCAACGACACATAGTTACAAAACGAGACCGATTTGCTTGCTGGGTTGTCAACTGATGTTCGTTTTCTAATAAAGATTCTGGCATGTGTGTCACAAAACCACATTCTTGTAATTCATTTATGACATCCCTGAAACCTCTGTCAAGTATAAAGATGTCGCCTGTCCGGAAAAATGTTCTTATACCAGACTCCTCATTACGAAGATTCAAACTAGTAATCGTAGCATCATTAGTGGTTGCTTTATAGGGCCCTAAACAATCTATTATGTGACCATCACAACATACTATCATAAATGGCTTTACTAAATTATCTAGTTTCTGCAAACTATAAGTCTGTTTTTGAAATAAATAATTAGTGCTACTCTGCATAAATACATATGTTGCATCACACATGACTATTGCCGGTTTGGTATTTGGGGGAAAATCTGGATTGCCAAATAATCCTTCAGGGATTATTCTATTTCTAGAAGCAACATCTTCTATGGTTAGATGATTAAATCCTAAATGCATCGGTACAAACTGTCTAGTTAGACACTCTCTAGCTGCATTCATCCAGCGTTCTAAGGTAGTTCGAGATTTCTCGAAAAGTGTTGCCAATCTTTCGTTACTATCACCTGTTCGCAGTTTAACTAAATACATAGACAAAGCAATAGTGGCATTAGGTACAGAGTCTGACAGACTTGGAATAGAATTTAATAAATCATGAAATTGATTAGAAGTCATACCTAACCAGTAATGACATAAATATGCCGGCATAGTTGCAATATTCGAAAAATCAATGTGGTATTTGGCAGCTCGCTGCAACATGTTTAAAATGTTATCAAACTGTGTACCAGTAAAATCTCTTAGCCGGGAGGTTAATTCATTCCAGTGACCATGATTTAAATGATAATTGCAAATTCGTGCTCCGGGTGGTACATAGAACCTATGATTTAAAAGTAAAAGATCCTTAATAGCAGCAGGAATCAGTAAACGTTCTGGTTCAAAACAGTCAACAAATATACAATGACTAGCTGTATTAGCACCACGTCTGTACACAGATGAAGTTATTTTATCCCTTGTTGGAGAAGGTTCCCAGACATGTTGCGGAAGGGGTGGTGGTACAGGTACATTAAAATCTCCACTCGTTCCCACATCTGGCAGAGTGGGGCGATTAGAGTCTAATTGATTTTGACGTCTCACTTCTCTATAAGCTGCCATCCAACAAGAACTACATACTCTTTCCAAT